CCTCAGGCTTGATTTGACCAAAACCCCACGTGGAGTGACAAAAAGGGTCAATGACCGATCTCGCCTTTCCTGTCTCAATGACGAAAGACCCTTGGCGCGAGGGGCAAACCATTGGCAATTGGACACCGCCGGAGACTCGGAGAATGTGATTCGACTGTTTCCTTGCTGACACGGGAGGAGCTGAGTGGCAGAAAAGATATGGTGGAATTCACGTGATGAACGAGTCGATTGCGCAATATACGCTAGCTACAAAGGTAGGAGGAGAAGGGCTGTTGGAGACACCAAAAAACGGCCCATAAGTCATCAGCAAATTCTCTTTTCTTCTCTCAATCCTTCAATCTTTCAATCTCTCAAACATCAGCTCTGCTCTTCCGAACTTTGCGAAAAACTCATCGCAGAGCCCCCCTAAACCAGTCCTAGTCCCCATACCCCACGTCAAAAGGTACCAGAGCTCCCCTTGCCCCTCCATACCTACCATTTATCCCGCCACGTCCCCAAAGCAAACCTAACAATAAACGCGCAGTATCGCCACCACAACCAACAATGGCCGAAGGACGCTCTGAGCCCCTCCGCCTGGGCAGCACCGCCCCCAACTTCAAGGCCGAAACCACCGCCGGCCCCATCGACTTCCACGAGTTCATCGGCGACTCGTGGGCCATCCTCTTCTCCCACCCCGCAGACCGCACCCCCGTCTGCACCACCGAACTTGGTGCCTTCGCAAAGCTCGAACCCGAATTCGCGCGCCGCAACACAAAGCTCATCGGCCTGTCCGCCGACTCCATCGAGTCGCACGACGAGTGGGTCAAGGACATTGACGAGGTCACTGGCAGCAACCTCAAGTTCCCCATAATAGGCGACAAGGAGCGCAAGGTCGCGCTGCTGTACGATATGCTGGACCACCAGGATGCTACCAATGTCGATCAGAAGGGTATTGCGTTTACGATTCGCTCGGTTTTCATCATCGATCCTAAGAAGACTATTCGCTTGATTCTGAGCTACCCGGCGTCCACTGGTAGGAATACCGCCGAGGTTCTGCGTGTGCTGGATTCTCTGCAGACGGGTGATAAGCACAGGGTTACCACCCCTATTAACTGTAAGTTTCCCCCTTCTTTTCACACATAATTGATAGTGTTGTTGTGGAGGTATGAAGATCGATTCGCTGACAATGCATCTTGCAGGGGTTCCTGGTGATGATGTTATCGTCCACCCATCCGTTTCCAACGAGCAGGCCAAGGATCTCTTCCCTGACTTCCGCATCGTCAAGCCTTACCTGCGGTTCACCCCGCTTGCAAAGGAGAAGACCAGCGCGGCTTAAGTGCCTGACAAGCTGGGGAGGACTTGGAGGAGAAGTGTCTAGATGTTTTGGGCAAGCCTAGGAATTTATTTCCATCCTTTGTAGGACCTGGGCCATGATATTAAATTGATCATGATAATGAAATACATATATTCCCAAAGTACTTCATTCCATATCTGCTTCTTCTTCCCTAGCTAGTGACTTTTGTGAGGTAACTTAGTAGTCCCCATTTCTGGCATGTAATTGCGCCATGTCCGATATCGGCAACGACAAAAGTATGGGGAAAATCCGGAGAAAGCTCATGCAGTCGAAAAAAAACTAGGTAAGCACGTAACGTGACGAGTACGCAAAGAAAGGGTGCGCCACACAAAAGATAACCTATCTCTCAACACTCGATTTCATTCATTTGACCTCATTTCGAACCAGCTTCAAGATATCACAACAAAAACATATCTCTCGTCAACAATATCCACCCTTGAAAAAAAAACTGTACAACGCACTTGAAAGACCAAGAAAAAAAGTTACATCTTCCCCGAATCCACCGTTCTATGTCAGATGGGCGTTCTCCTTCTCTTCTCTTCTGTCGTCTCTAACCTCTTACCTTTGCTCACTGTCATGACAAATCAAGCACCTTGCAGGCCCAGCCCGACTCCATCCCCGTTGCCCATGCCACCATCATCCCTACTCCTATCTCTGCTCCGTCCCATCTCGCGGATCCTCCGGCCCTCCATCAATCCTCTCAGACCACGCTTCTGTAGTCCAACCACAGCGCTCATCTCACCATTCCACACTTCTCTTTCTTCAATCACACTGCCATCTCCAAGGCCATTGTCCGATGCAGATGCAGAGGTAGATTCGGATGCAGCTGAGCTGACCTCGTCGTCATGGTTTCGTTCAATGTCGGTGTTGAGGCGGAGCGCACGTAGTCCTGCGTCAAAGCTGCGTTCGAGGTCGGTGGAGCTGGTGCTGTTGTTTAGTTGAGAAGTGGAAAAGCCGTTTGTCGTTCCATTTGAACCAGAAACTCCGTTGACGCCCATAAAAGCGATGCCCGATCCGCCGCCAGCTGCCATGGCTGCAGCGTTGAAGATGGCCGCGGTATTCCGGTTGTCGAGCAGGGTATGCAGACGTTCAATGATTGCTTCTAACAGGCCGTCAATGTGGTACGGCCGCGCCAGTTGGAGTAAAGAGCAGAGTATTTGTGGCGAGCATAGTTGCGAGTTTTGTGGCGGAAGGGATGATGTGTATAGAAAGTGTATCAGTGCTTGAAGGGTAAGGTGAGTGTGGGGTAGGAATAGTGTCCGAGGCCGTTGAGAAGGTGCGTGTGATGATGCTTCTGGTGGACTCAGTGAAGAGTAAGAATTTGTTGAGACTGCAGTAACCTCAGATTGTGTTATTGTATTGGCCGTGAGTGTTGTGGCTGCTGAGTAGTTTGTTCGGATAGAAGGTGTGATGGTTATGCTCGAGTTGCGTGATGGATGCATAGTAGCTGTGGGTCGCAGCGTAGCTGCATCGGCACTCTCCTTCTCGGCGCTCTGTGCGCTCTCGCGAAGAAGCTGGTTGAAGTATGGGCCCCACCGCCGAGCAATCATATGCGAGTTGACGGGGATGCGTTCGCCATTCAAGGCAAGAAAGTCCATGTCAGCAAACTCCCGCATGCCCAGAGCCATTTGCCCAAGTTCGGTGGCTGCAGGTAAAAGTGTCCGGCCGCCAGCAAGCACGTCAAGTCGGTCATGCAGTGGTGGCGCGCTTACAGATTGGAAGCCTGACGCGGGCGTAACTTTACGTGGGTTGTCGTACAATCCGAATGCTTCCAGTTCCACGACACACATGTTCGAGAAGTTGATGCGTCGATGATTGTAATCCTCAACCAGGCTTCTCTTACGGTTGCCCAGAATCACAAAACTGTTTCTACGATTCCACAACACACCTCTGTTCCAACTTCCTTGGCTGAAAATATTGCCTCCAGCTTCTATCCGCCCCCAGCTTAGTGTACGCAAATCAAGCGCCCACAGGGCGTATTCTTGCTTGGATGAAGTTAAAAATGTACCACTGACTACAAAGTGATTGTTAATAATACCACCATTTGGAAAGCGGAGCCCAGGCGGCGAGAAGTTGCCATGCATTGGCTTTTCGGAAAGAGTGCCGTCAGAATGCCGTACTTGCAATTCAAGCTTAACGTCCAGAAAATTGTAGTTTGAGTAAATGAGCATCGAAGACTCATAGCTCGTACTGTTCTCCTGTTCGTCGGGTGCTCTTCCTTCATCACCAGGCCGTATTCCTTCGCCAATATCATTTGGGTGAATACTGGTTAATGGCGCGACCACGCTTCGATATGCACCGCAACTCCTACCCAGTGTGCTAGTTCCTGTCCACTTGAGGCTTCGCAAGTTGAAAACACTAATCTGTTCAATATAGTGATTGGCACTGTCTTGGCCGCCCACTACTAACATTTCCGCGCCACCCTCGCCATCTAGATCAACGCCCAGCGATCCTTGGTTCGGATTCGATGAAGGCGGGTTGTGACGTATAGCGGTTACTGCTGCGCTCGTTGAGCTGAATACGGCTGAACTCGGCAGAATGGTGGCGCAATGAGCATATCGACCTTGTGGCGCGTCGCTTGTAGCAACGTGCATCCATGTTCGCGTAGGCGCGTCGTAAATGTGAACGTCGGACATGACCACAACTTCAGGTTGGGCGTCAGCAGGCGCGCCTTGTATTACGGAAGTGGCTTGGTTTGATGAGGGGTTCGCAGGTGACATGCCACCATAGCACACGAGCTTGGTATCCCCTAGTGCACAAACGCTGTGAAAGTACCGTGGGGGCGGTATATCGCCTTTAGTCTCGACCTTTGTCCAGTGTCGCTTAACAAGGTCCAGTTCGTACAAGTCCGACGTCAGCTGTGGCCTTGTTCGTGATAGTCTTCGGCCCCCAAAGACGTAGAGTTTGTCGCCCAGAATAGTTGTGGTTGCGCCCACAAGCGGATGGGGCTCTCTGCCAGTAGTTCTGTGTACATTGCATACCAACCCCGATAGCCCTGCTGTGGAGCTTGCGGGTGTGCCTAAACCCGCGAGTGTGGCTGGCGATTGGGATACAGAGCCAGGCGTCCGGGTAGATGCGGTCGAGGGGCGCTCGGTCCCGCCATCCTGGATATCCTGACGGTTTAGACTTGTTTGGCTGCTGTTCCGGCTCGCAATGTAAGGCGCCGACGTCTGAGAATCAATGGTGTTTGTCCGGCTCTGAGACATGCTGGCCGGACCCGCGATTTCGTTTGGGATTTCTTGTGTTTGTTCAAGGTGAATGGGGAGCTCGAGAAATGGCGATGTAAATTGTTGTACAGGTAAAGCCAGAAAGGGAATCAGGGCCTCTGCATGACGAGACTGGACGTAAAAAGAGTCGCTCAAAGAGTTACCGTTCAGGATAGGCTGACCGGAGGGGTTGGGAGCACTGCTCGAATCGATAAGCGATGCTCGGAAAGATTTGAATCTAATGCTCGTACAGGCGCGTTCAGGTACTACAACTGGATCATAGCGCGCATCGACGAGTGGTATTGTTGATTGTGCTCGGACGTCACGTGAACGTCTCTTGTTCAATAAGACCCTTTTGATGTTCAACCCCTTCTGCCTTCTCCAGAAAGATGAAACGTCACCCAACGGCCCGACACTAGCGCCAACAGAGGGGTAGAAGAGACCTAGCGACAAGACCATGGTTAGCGATGGAATTCGAGCAAGAGTAATGAAATGCAGAAGGGTGCTGAAAGAGAAGTTTCCGGCTCTTGAAATAATCGGAGAGTGCTAGCTGCAGCCCGTCTCCGATGCAGATTCGCATGCAAGGTCTCAACCACCGCAGCGCACTGCCTGGGATGAGTAGGCATGTTTTCGTATTGGGGCAGGTGACTTTGCTGCTGTGCTACTCTTCTGTGGTACACGACCTCTTGCCTAGAGGAGCGTCTCACAGTGGGACAGGTCGGTCTTCTAGCACCGCAGAGAACAAATTGGTGCAGTGCAGCCGCAAATGGTGGTGGTTTCCGACTTGGTCTCATACTTGCATCTGGGCGGTGGGCGTCTCATGAAGGGGCTGTTGAAGACTGGGCAAGGGAGCATGAATGAAGAGCAGAGATAATAAAAGCCTTACTTGTTAATGCGCCACACAGGAGCGGGGAGGGATGCGATCCAGCAGGACGGTAAAATGTATGCAGAGAAGGAAGAGGCGGTAGTCGGACGGGTAGTCTTGCTGGACTGGCGCGTACAGATGACAACGAGGTTCGTGCCCGAGTGTGGAGCGCGGAAACCGTCTAGGCCGAATGGGGACTGGCGCCTTGGCAACTATTGCGAAGAGAGGCCTAACTAACGAGACGTCGTTGCTCAAGGGCCTGGAAGGACTTGGAGACAGACTGGAGGTAGCTGAAGGCTGAATGAGACGAGGCGGAATAGAACACGCCACGCAAACGGCGGGGCCGGACGAAAACAGAGGGTCCAATTCTAGGGGAAAGTTAAAAAGGCGGAGACTCGACACTACCTCGATGCTTGTGACCGACAACGTTCGCAAGGCCGCAAACAACTCCAACACTCGGATTTGGACACGCGAGGGCGTTGCACAGCTTTTGGCTCTCCCAGGCTTCTTGCAGAGAGTGCTCACCCTCCTCCTGGCCCTTCAACCGGCTGGGCACGGTTGCAAAAGCAATTAGCGCGCCAACGCTGCGCGACAAATCAGCTGTCCCAAGCCTACAAGACGAAATACGCCAGTCGCGCACGAGGCTCATCTAGGTGTTGATATCGGTGAAGACGGCACCGAGCGGTCAATATTGAGCAAACGGTCAGGATGCCTCTGGGAGCCTCGTCGCCGCTTTCTTGCATCCAGCCTAGCTGTGGGTTTCGGTTAATCATTGCTGTTCGCTGGCGAGGAAAAATGATGCTGGATCCCAATTCCAGAAGGATTCTGTGCCGTGCCGTCGTGTCATGGACCATTCATAGACAACCTTGTTCCTTGATCACCTCAGCTCAATCTCAAGTTGCCTCAGTGGCCTCAGGGGCGACATACAGTCATCGTACGTTACTAAATAAATGCCAAGGCTTTGTATGAAGCGCGCGGTTGTTGGAGCGCAAACGTTCCTAGCCAGACTAACATTGTCGTGATCCCGTATCGCCTGTCAGGTACAGAGAGCTGCACGAGTCGAAAGGTTGTTCTAGTCTCGGGAAGCTGCTGGGAGCGACAGACAAATGTAATTGGACTCGTATTGGTCTTGGCGTTGCTGGTAGTCTCAAAGATTGCCGTTGGCTGCGCACAGCTGGGATGCGACTAGTCAAGGTTCAAAAAACAGGAAACAAACAGACATATACAGCTGAACTCATTATGCGCTAACCAGCTGCAGAACACTATCTTTCAGCTCACTTCAGCGCTGACATAATGGCAACGTAGTGTTCAGCAAATGTGTAGTGTGCAATACCAATACGTACGCCTAAGTGAAGCAAGTGCAACCAACTATTGACTAATCGCTTTTGTAACGTCTTACAATCACTGCCGAAACATTTCTTTGTCGAGAGTAGCTCACCCGATAGAAGGGTGTCTTTAATTTACGTACAATAACAAATCTATATCGCTATTCTCTATCCTTCTCGCTGTCGATATTGGCATGCTTTCATGCCGTGTCGCTCATCTAATCCCCGCTAGCAATCTCCGAGCCAATGTCAAGAAGGCAAGGAAAATGGTGAGTGGTCAACACTGTCTCCAACTAAGTTTCCAAGTGCTCCCAATCATACAGCTCCATCTGTTCATCTCTGGGTCGTATTCACAACCGCCGACAGAATTGTTAGTGGGCTATGGGCCGTATCTTCCGCGGGTGATTGACGCAGCTTTGCGGCGCTCCCAGTCATACCTAGTAACAAACATGAACGACAACAGCTCATTTATGCTGAGTCCATCTGCGGCTAGGGTGCAAGGAGTATAATCGCATGTCTGGAACGGTGTCAGTACCGGCTAGTGTCGTGACGGCCATATCTGCTCCGATATGTGTAGCATTCGAGTCGTTGCTTCGTCTTGATTTACTGCCATGCTTCTCCTCTTTCAAATTCTTGTCCTTGCAGGCTCAGGTGTTCTTGGCGTGTACGGCGGCGGAGACTCGTCTCTCTTTGCTGCCCTTTCATGCCACGAGCCCTCCTTTCTCCAGTTCTGGTCGACTCCAGCCCCAGGACTCGCATCGCCCATCGGGCTCGTCAAGGGTAGCCTCGCTACAACAGGGAACCCAGAGTCAGGTCTTAGCAGCCTGAGTTCCCTGTAGGGATATTTGGCTGCAGCTTGAGCGCGTTCATGGGCTCTGCGGCGGGCTCTTTTTATTATGCATGCGAGACCAAAGCTGATCAAGAGGAAGGCGGCCACAAAAGTGGAGACAATGAGCAGGACAGTGCGGTGGGTGGCACACTGGCTGGAGTAGCTCACTTCGCAGGAACTTGAGCGTCTTTGGATAATGGTAGGAAGATTGATTGTAGGAAAGAAGTTGTGGGGTAAGTTGCTGGGCGCCATTGTTTGTGTATAGTAGTAGGGCTGGTGGCTGTCGGGAGAGGAAACAGCAGACGACGATGTAAATGTTGGTTCGCAAGGGAAACAAGAGAAAATTCCCTTGAAATAACTGATGCAGAACAGAAGTAAAAGGAATGGTCGATAAAGAGAGGCTTCTTGCAGCGCGAACGTATCTTTTACAAGTCCTGCTCTCTACCCGCTGGCGTGGAGTGCATAGGCGCCCTGCCCCTACCTATGATGCGCAGCCTCGCGGCAACGATGCGCAGTTTTGTTTCCTGCGCGCCTTAACGACAGCGCCTAAATAAAGCTTAGGTTAACTATGCGTTAAGCCTCTTAATGCGGCGCCTAATATTAGTTTCATTCCATGGGTTGGTGTGGGGTCACTTTGGTTGTTGCACTGCCCCTCTCCACCGCGTTCGCCTTGGGGGCAGCCTCGTTACACGAGCGAGGCGCCGCGGTCTTTGTCTGGTGATGGGCGATGCATTGTCGGAAGCTCTGCTTCCACTTGTTCGTTTTTCGATGCATAATGAAGATTGTTGGGAACCACAGATAAAGATGCTTGTCCTGTTATGTTGCTGTGAGAACAAAGGTGCTCTATGCAGGCGCTTCCCGTCCAGGTCAGGTTGAGCGAGCATTCAACGAAATACAGCCCTTGTCGAACTGTTCGATGGTCAAGAACGCCTGGTATCAAGAAGGTCGCCTCGCCTGATGCTGCGCAAAGATTTACTATCTAGGCACACTGCACTTCACTGTGCCGTTCACCTTGTTCGCTGGCCGGCGCCTTGTAACACGTAACTGTGCCGCATGCTAGGGTTGAGACATGCCCCCTCACCACACAGCAGCGATATGCGGACACGAGGTATCGTACGATCAGGTGAATGCGCAAGTTCGCCTTAGGCAGCCCCTGAGGGGGCCGTGGGATGATCAGGCCCTAAGGCTCGACGAGGTAGTCGAGGGCTCAGTTGGTGAGGTACCTCAGGCATCGCATGTTGGATCGGTGGAGGGGTTTCCTTGCGAACTGCCAGAACAGTCGACAGGCAAGTAAACTCAAATTTCCCACATGTATCTTTGCAGTTATGGCTATGATGAGTCGTCCCTAGTTGTGTCATTGCATTAAAACACAGATCGCGTCCTTGTGATGTGACAGCCGGTAAATTGTTCCATGGTATCCGGAGAATCATTCCTGCACATCTGTAAAGCAGAGACTGTGCAGAAAAGAGAGGTTGCCATATTGTCCTCAAAAGCGAGTGTAACTAGATGACCGAACACCATTTAGTGCAGGGAAAAGGCTACATATATACGGTGCTGTCCAAGACACATGCTGGCGGCCCCGTCTGGATTTACTATATGCGCTCACTGCATATCGCTTCGGCTGTACATGCTCCATGTATACTCGCACCTAACACTTCAGCCAATACTGTGCATTATTCTCGAGCCCCACATACCTTGTTGGCACAAAATTCAAGCTACGAATGTGATCTGGCTGATGTCCCCGGACCTCACCTCCAAGACCCCACGGCGAGCTCCCGGAATGCCCAATTAGGCAATATCCGAAAATGCCGGGCATAGTTCCCCGCAAACACGTCCTGAGCTCTACCCCAATAGTGCCATATATGCAGACAGGAAAGGATGGCCACGGCCAGACTCGCTTCAAATCAAGCGGGTGACCTGAAGAGGCGTCTGGGACCGATATATAAACCCACAATAGCCCCATCTTGCGTAGAACTTACCGAATGATCGTGCGTTCGTTATCAATTGTATAAATACCCTTTTTCCGGCGAGTCCTTCAGCGTATATCGTAACTCAGATTCCTCATCTTCTTCCTGTGTCTTGAAATTGTAATTCAGATAATTCCAATCATGTCGACCACACGCGGGCTACCAGAGTTCAGCCTAGCCGGCAAGGTCATACTGGTGTCAGGTGGTGCGCGAGGCCTTGGACTTACACAGGCCGAAGCATTGTTAGAAGCTGGTGCACGAGGTAAATACTTAAGTACATGCGGGGATGCACAGAATTTGTTGGCTAACACACGCTCCTAGTCTATGCACTTGATAGGCTTCCCGAGCCATCCCCAGACTTTGGTCCGATCGCAGAACGAGCAAAGAAGGATCTCGGAACATCGCTTGAGTACCGTCAGATAGACGTGCGGGATGTAAAGAAGCTGAATGAGATCGTCGATGACATTGCGAACAAGGAGGGAAGGCTAGACGGGCTAATTGCGGCGGCCGGTATCCAACAGGAGACGCCTGCATTGGAGTATACCGCTGAGGATGCGAATCGGATGTTTGAGGTGAACATCACTGGATCTATGATGACCGCGCAAGCCGCTGCGAAGCAAATGATCAAGTTTGGCAACGGCGGAAGTATCGTGCTTATTGCTAGCATGTCTGGCACCGTGGCGAACAGGGTACGATGATTCTAATCAATTGCAATATGTAGTCTTTCAACTAACATACAGTAACAGGGTCTTATATGCTCGGCATACAATGCTTCGAAAGCAGGTGTGTTGCAGCTCGCTCGCAACCTCGCATCGGAATGGGGTGAGCACAAGATTCGTGTCAACACAATCTCGCCGGGTTATATCGTGACGGCCATGGTAGAGGAGCTTTTCAAGCAGTATCCTGAGCGAAGGGAAACATGGCCGACGCAGAATATGTTGGGCCGCTTGTCCAAGCCAGAGGAATACCGTGGTGCCGCAGTTTTCCTTCTCAGCGATGCGAGCTCATTCATGACTGGGTCAGATCTGAGGATAGACGGTGGCCATTCGGCGTGGTAGTAATATCGTTGCACATGGAGAGACATAAATTCATAAGGTTGAAAGTGCTTAGCTTGACTGCATCGTGGTGTTCTGTCCAATGCGAGGCTGCGGAAGTCCGTAACTGGGGAGGGTTTGCTGAATAAGCCATGTCTTGGCAACTTGGGCAAGAGCGTCGCCCTCCACCGAAGAAATAGAGAGCGTCTGTTGGTCCTTGCCGAGCCATGAAGTCTTCCAACAGATAGCTATGGTGTCGCTGGTAGGTATCACCTGCCATGTACTCCCCAGACATCGATTCCCTACTCCTATATTGTGGCCCATCACTCTGTCCTCGCGCGTCTATTACTAGGCCCCAATCTCGGGGCCCTGCCGCTCGAGCATGACGGCATCAACCCCCTCAACCGTATCCCGTTATGGCCCCGCCGTACTGTTCCTCACAGGAGTGTCGGCTGGGTATGCGGCATATGTTATATACAATACCCTCCAATCCTCCACACCCACAGACGGTCTCCACCGCAGCAATGCTGTTCGCAGACGGCGGCCGCGAGACTCAGCACCGGCACCGTCCGTGCTGCCACTGAGCGAGCAAGACATACCTTCGCTGGGCGAGTACCATGTCCTGACTACCAGAGTGCTGCTTGATCCTCACAACTTGGTCACGCCTGCGGAGCTGCGCAGCATCATTCTGCGCGCCCAGCCGGACGCCAGCGAAGAGACTATAAATCACCTCTCCGGGCGCACATACGAAGAGTTCTTCGATCGCTTGCTTGTAGTGCACTCACCCGACCGTGCGCTTTCGCCGTCAGAAGTCGATGCTCTTCTGGCCTGGCTGACCGAACGTAACCCGAACAATCCAGCATTAGATCGCGATGCAATAGCCCGCGCAGCGACATGGCATGCGCAAATGTTTGGAAACACGGACAGCCTTGGGCTGGATGGTGGAGAGAGCGTCGCGCCCACAGAATTGTCTCTGGGAAGTGACGAGGACCCGGACGATGATGCCATTGATCCAGAGGGCCAAACCCTCCAGCGCACTCTATACCACATCGCAGAAGACCGCGCCAGGCTGGAAGGCGTAATACATCGTGGAATCACATGTAACGGCTGTGACGAGAAGCCCATTCGAGGAACTAGATGGCACTGTGCAAACTGCCCAGACTTCGACCTATGCTCGAACTGCGAAGCAACCAACTCCCACTACAAGAACCACATATTCTATAAGATACGCGTACCTGCAGGCTACCTGAGTTTGCAAAAACAAGAACCGGTTTACCCGGGAAAGCCTCACATGATGAACCTCTCGATCGATTCGGCACTGAAGAGGCGTCTGGTAGCTGAGACAAAGATGGAGGCTGAGGAGGTCGAGGCGTTGTGGGATCAGTTCACTTGTTTGGCAGGGGCAGAATGGGCAGATGACCCAAACAATATAGGATGGGCTATCGACCGACGCGATTTCAATCACGCATTCGTACCGCGCTACAATGGCTTCCCTGCTGCACCGAATCTCGTTTACGATCGCATTTTCGCATATTACGACACGGACAAGAACGGGCTCATCGGTTTCGAAGAATGGATCAAAGGACTTGACGGAATGCATACCACAGATGTGGATGTAAAGGCCAAGATCGTCTTCGACGGATACGACATCGATGGAGATGGCTATGTGTCGCGCAAAGACATTCTACGCATTTTCCGGGCTTACTACTCGATCGAGAAGGAAGCTACCCGAAACTACATCATGGAGCTGTCTGAAGAGGTAACGGTGCGCAGTGCCCTGGATACTATCAGGTCTAGTCAGCCCTTGGGCTCTGCATTTCCGCCTCGCAGCATGAATGCCTCCAACACCAGCAATCCCCGTTTACGGCAGAAGCAGGAAGGTGACATGGACGCAACCTCACCTGTGCTCGAACGGAACACCGACGTCGCAGAGCGGAATGAGATCCTCAGAACCACCGACCTCCAGCACATTGTGCCCGACGAAGTGTCCGGTGAGCAACAAGCCAACATCTTGAACCAAAGATGGGCCCGCAGGCAATACTACATAGATGAAGAGGAGGGCTTCACACAACCAGATGGAGCAGACGGTCAAAGCTCACCCGAAGGACAGACTCAATTTGGTGGCTTCGCAGATCCAAGTGAGGAACATATCCGAAACAGAAGCTCGCGTTCATCATCAAGGGTCCGTTTCCAGGAAGATGTGGATCGAGAGACACGATCAAATGCCTCTTCTTCAAGGCCTTTTGGAGAGCGTTGGGGTGGATATGAGATACCCGAACCTGAGCAAGACCTCGGTAAAGAAGTACTGTATCAGGTCACACAGCAAGGGTTTAACGAATTACTCAACCCACTATTTCTTGAAAAGGAAGACATGGCCATGGACGCCCAGGACACGCGCAGTGAGCGCCGCTCAAGAGCCGCCGATATCGAGTCTACGATTACGCATCTCTTCACAGCCAGGAAAACCGACGTTGAAATCATTCTCCAGGTTGGCATCTTTCGGTTCTCCAAATGCATGGTAGACAAATTCTGCTGGGCGCTGAACTATGGAGAATCAAATATCCAAAATTTATTCGTGAATCCCAGTAATAACGGGCCACGCCCTGATGAGGAGGTTCGAGCGGCAGTAGAGGCCATCTACAACTCTGTCGAAGCAAAAGTTCTGAGCTCAGTTAAGAACCCCAAGGCAAGCAATGCTGAAAACATGACAATATGGAACATGTATATGTGCCAGTGTCAGCTTCGGGAGGAGGCCATCAATGCATTCATGAGCTGTGCAGAAAAGCAAGGGTGGCTTTCATCCTCCGCTGCGAGTAAAAGTCCAATTTCCGACCACAGAGATCCTACCATGCCCCAGTTCCGACCAAACTCTCTCACACATCTACCAACCAATTCGCAGAGTGGTTCATGCAGCTCTTCAGAGACTGGTGCAGCTTCTGACACCGACGAGTCATCAGTGTCAACAAACGAAGACACAGACCCCGGCCGATGTTTCTTTGTATGCGCAGCCCATGATGGTTTGAAACGATACCCAGGAAGAAAACGGTCCACAGACTCGACATCAGGACCTGAATCTGGCTCTCCATCAATAGTTGCCGCAGCAGCCGACGTCGGTGAACGCGTCCTTGAACTCATGCCCCTCTCATGCCCCGCCGAGCCAGGAGGCCCAACACCAGATACAGTACAGCTGAACTGGTACTCTGACGTTCCAGAACGTCATTTTCTCTTCATCCAAAACCTAGAGGGCACAAATCTCGTTCAATGCGGATGCAACCAAATCAGCCACTCCACAGACCCTTACCACCCCGAGACAAACCAGGTCAAGCCATTACAGCGCTCTGTTCGCCGAGTAGCCATGAACCCTCAATCTCCACTGCATCTCATCATGCTCGCCAGCCTCGAAAGTGTGGATCAGGAAATCAATCGTCGCAAGGGCGGCGGCTTGGTCAACTTGGAAGAGTTTTCGGAGCATATGAGACAGGGCCAGTTGCGGTTTTTGGAGTCTTGGATGGATTGGGTGGGGATTTGAGGGATGATGCTGGGACTATGGTTATGTAACACGATACTTTGAATTTAGATCTCGTATTAGCATAGAAGGGCTTATACATTTGTCCTGATGACCTATGCATGCAAACATCATGTTTCTTTTACTTCTCTTGGATTTACCTTGTGGTATGAAATGGTGTTTCTTGGACGCGTGCTCTTGATGTCTGATGAGTGGGATATAAATGTTTTTGATGAGGCTGCGAACTTCGAGTGTCGTGAGAGTGGTGGGGGAAAAAAGCTTCTTGTAAAATTTGATGATAAAGAGACGTATAGTTTTGCCAAAATACCGCTGGACTGCAAAGTTTCTGTCGCTTTTCACGGCCAATGCTGGGGAACATGTCACATATCGAGACTTACGACATAGCAACATAGCGACAGTGTCAAGGTGGCATATCAAGCTCTATATTCAAGCAGCTATACATCTATCCAAGCTCTCAAGCTCGCACTCTACTTTGACTTTGCAAATTGCTTCCCCCACTTCTCTGCAATTTCTTCTTCCGTAAAGCGTCTCGTCTTGCGCTTTAGCATTTCTATCTTCTCGTCGAGCGTGAGGTTCATTTGGTCGCCGATAGGGACCAAGCACTTGGCGATGTGCTCGTAGTTCTTTCGCAGGAGGTTGATTGTAAGGAAGAAGTAGTCGATGTTGTAGAAGACGATTGCGTGTTCGTCGGCATACTGCTGTTTCTGAGAGAGGAAGGCGACGGGGTGATCGCGCCAGTGGCGGAGCGGGTTGAGGTGGTGAGAGGTGTGGTAGCCATCATTGTAGCAGTCTCTGTTGCTCTTTTGAGAGGTTAGACTGATACATGGGTTGATTATGTTCATCCCAAACTTACCACTGAGTCGATAAGCGTTATACTTGATCGAAAGTCGGAATCCGGCTCGGTTTCGTCGACAAAGGCGTGCTGGCCCCAATTTCCCGTCATAAGAGCTATCCGCATGAAGTTGAGAGGGATCAAGAAGACAAAGATTGTTGAACGGGCGCTGACATAGTTGTACATGAGGTACAGGAAGATGTAGTTACTCCATTCGCACACACCTGCTTGAAGTGCAAGGTTGGGCTTGCGTGTGCGGATAAAGTACATGGGCAGATCAAACCAAATGAGGAAATAGAAGCGGCCGACATATTGCATGAAGTCCCAGAGGCTGTCTCGCTGATACCGGATAGTCGAAGAAAGGTCATTGGGGCCGTTGCCTTCCACGTGGTGGTGCTTGACGTGATGATAGTAGTACGAGTTCCAGGTGTGGCCCATCAGCGGATCCAAGATGTATGGAAAGATCCGATCAAACAGGCTATACTTGGGACTGAGTACACCCCGCATGTGGATATGTTGGTGTTTTAGGAGAGTGAATGGTCCCATATACGTGCCTTGCATGACACAGTGGAGTACAGCATGCCACCAATGAAAATTGACATATAGGTAAATAGCCGATGGGACGCTGGTGCAAAAGTAAAGAAGCAGATGCGTAACCATTACAACATCTGTCTCTACACGGACGACCTTCTTGGCCCAGCGAATGTAGGGATCGATAACCCATTTACGAAGAAGCGGACTCTTGATGTCTGGCTCGTCAAACGTACAGAACACCGTAGGTTCAAAACTGTCAGAATTTGGATCATTGAGCTTTTTGAAATAAGCAATTGCTTGTTGTTGCTGGTCTTGGAGGTCTGCAAAGATTAGTCGCACAACCCTAATGAAGAAAGACATGGAACTGTTGTGCACCAATGGAGAAACGCACCTTCTGGTGATGGAATTACGGTCTTGGAATGTTTGATACCCGAGTCGTCAGAATCATCCCCTCCATCTGTCGGCGATCCGCTCGCAGAGTCTCCGTGCAGCTCATATTCTTTTTGCAGAATGTTCAACACGATACGGTCCTGGCCAGTGAGTTTTGGGTCCAGAGGATAAGCTAGTTTGCCCATTCTGCAGGCGATGCAAAGATATTGCTGGCAATAGGGTATGTCCAGGTGGTCCGACTGTCCCAACGGCGACGGAAGGCTCGCCGGGTTCGCAATTAACAGTTACTGTAAACTTTGAGATATAACGAGCGAACCATCAACTTTGGCAACAATGAAAAACCCGGGGTCCAGGTGTCTGATCGAGTCGTAGTTGTATTGAGGTGCGAGGTTGTGGCGCTAAGGAGATACCAAGCGGTGACTGAAGGGTTTAGCGCGCCCCTGGCGATCCACATGGTGGCAAGATCCAACCCCGCGACCATTTTTGTGGCCTAGAACCCCAACTCTCATAAAGAAATCTCGACATGTAGGGGTCTTATTGAACGCTTCTGTAACCTCCAAACTGATGTTTGCTGACATGCTGCATCCCGTAGCGTCACTCGTAAATGATGCTTCTCGGGTTTTCCCTGGGTGTCCAACTGTATGAGTATCCTGGAAGCTCATTTTTACCCTTGGACCCTTTCAGTTAGTATTACCTGATATCTGTCCAACCGATATTTGCAGGAAGAGAAGACCGGGATTATTGTCAGCATCCCATTGCGATGGTTCCTTGTAAGGGGAGGAAGGAAAGTAACGCGACCTTCCGGCCATCAAAACTCTCATCAATCAGCATGTGATCTCTATCTGAGATCTGAATTAGCACCCAAACTTTCTAGCGTTCGACTTCATTTTCAGTCCTCGTTAGGGAATCAAAACACCAACTGCGTTAAGTTATAGGCCAACAACCATTTCGTTACACGACTACTATAACGTGGAAACTAGGTTTAAGCTTATCCATCAGACTTGGCAACTCAATATACTGGCCCTACGAAAACTGCGATACGCATTCAAGTCCTCTTACTTACGAAACTATTTTCCTCAAAAGGAGGAAGCAAGAGTTTCAAAATTACGTGCGAGACTAAATCGAGGCCGTCCAAATTATCGTGAAGGAATTAAGTGGGAGCAATGGGGCGTAGAATGGTGCGGCATCCACCAAAGCAAGGATTGCTCCTTGTCTAGCACACGTCTATTTTCAATGAGATGTAGGCCAAAATGCGAACCAAACTGCATTTCCAGAAATAAGTTTGTTTGGAGTTAAGACCGCTGCAGAGCTTCGATACTCCACAGACGCTTGATTATTATCGCGAGTTCATTACTAAGCTCTCAAATGCCTCAGCCTCGGGGTCTTGTGCAAGTATCATGTTCGCTCCCGTATTCTATAGCTCCTGAGCATGTATTTAACAGACCTGAGGTAGAAGAATATTGTTAGACTTTAGGTGAAATGTTATAATGCTTTGGTACGAGGTCGAGGTGAAGCAATCTGCCAAGTCGAAGTAAGGCCCCAGTGTCTCCATCTCCATATTACTTACGGAGGTACGGTGATTAGGCTGCAAGTAATAATCTCCAAATTCGCAGATCCGTGCAGCCCAGAATCTCTATAGAACTCACTGTTGATCTCGCTTATGTATTTTCTTATTTTTCTTTTGCAAAGTCTCTATGGAATGTGCAAAAAGGGGAGTACATTGTGGTTTTCCGTCCGTGCGCAGGAGAATAATCTCTTTATCGATAAGATTTGTGGTAGGATCTTTTAGTCAAGAATAAAGTTGCGGCTTTCACGTACTCCTTCAATTACTACCTTACCCCAAACTATCGGCCAAACGGCATGCAACTCAATGTAAACCAAACAAACTGTCCTTGCTACATTTTCCTCAAGTAATTAGCTGCACGCCTTCAATAGCCAAGACTCAGCCCTAAGCGCTGGGCACGCGCCAACAATCCGGACTAATAATATGGCACATTCTAGCGTGTGGCCAATCAGGTTTCAGAAGCCGCTCCCGAATTAGACACACCCAAGGTGAAGCAAAGCCTCGTGACAAATCAACGCTCCAATGAATCCGTCTTGGTTTACATCTGCAGAGACCCGCAAAAGGAACGGGTCGGCGGGTAGTTGCAAGGACCGCATTTGAGGAGAGAGTTGGCATTCCTTGTTGCGATGGCGTTTCGTTTTCTTGTGACACCCACCATGAATCCGTGGGAAAGCAAATGTGCATATTAAATATGTTCTACGGCTCCCTAAACGAGTCGTCCTGAGAGTTGATGCCCGTTTTGCTACATTTCTACAGTCACTCATTTTTGTTCATTCGCTGATTTTCATTGCAACAACATGCGTTCTTTCTCGTCCCTCGCTATCGCCGCGCTTCTAAGCGCTTTCACGGGCAATGCCTCACCACTGGCTATAGAGAAGAGGGGTATGCCAACCTGATGGACAATAAAATTTCTACGAATCGGATTCTAACAAGAAATAATAGCTATTACTGATGGGCTCTTCAGTGACATGGGTTTGATGAGCCAATATGCTTCAGCAGCCTACTGCTCCGGTAACTACAATTCACCTGGCGACAAGGTCAGCTGCAATAAGGGAAAGTGTCCACTGGTTCAAGCCGCAGACTCAAATACTACAGCTGAATACACCGAGTAAGTCGACCACACTTGCACTCAACTACCTGGAAAACAAGAAAGAAGTATAAAACCAACAACATCAACAGAACCAATGCATCAACAGATGTAACAGGCTATATCGCCGTAGACCACACCAACAAACTCATCATCATATCTTTCCGCGGCACCAAGACCCCAGAAAACTGGATCACAAACCTCGATCTCGGCATGGACAAAACGGACATCTGTCCCACCTGTAGCGCCCACCGCGGCTTCTGGCGATCCTGGACCGAAGCCCGTCACCGCGTCCTACCCGCCGTAACGCAAGCCGTCGCCGATAATCCGTCTTACGAGATCCGCGCAACAGGCCACTCGCTCGGCGGCGCCATCGCTACGCTCGCGGCAGCCAGCATGCGCAACGAAGGCCACACAGTCGCACTATACACGTACGGCGCACCGCGCATCGGCGGACGCAAAACAAGCGACTTCATCTCCAAGCAAGCCGGCGGCAACTACCGCATCACGCACTGGAACGACCCCGTGCCCCAACTCCCGCTGCTGATCATGGGCTACGTGCATACGAGCCCGGAGTACTACATCAACAAGCCCAACGAGAAGACTGTATCTGCACGCGACATCCAAGTGTTTGAAGGACCGATAAGCTTTCAAGGAAATGGGCAGTGGATAGGGGATGATGTTGAGGCGCATATGTGGTATTTCGGCAGCGTGAGGATATGTGATGTGAGGAAGATGAAGAGAGGGGTGCTGGGTATCACGGGGGTAAAAGGTGGTGAGATGGAAGTTATGACTGTTTTTTAAAGGGAGAACGATGAATATGGATAGGGATTAATTTGCTATGGAGTAGTAATGATGATGTGTAATAAACCAAAAAAGAAACAATAGGAAATCGTGAACGTAGCAAATCGTGAGTGTAAAGAGATCGTTAAGGGGGGGGTATCATTACGAACGCCGAATGAAAGAAGATGGGGTAGGAGGGGGGAGTTCAGCATTCTAAAATGTCGCAGTCCCACTCGAGTTCGTCGGCCGTGTGCTCGCGCCACAGGTGATCCATGAGTGACCCGATGTCACGACACAACATGTCGAAGCGCCGGAATCTGGCGCAGAGGACGCATGCGAAACCGCCTTGTTCGCGGTGCGACTTTACGATGAAGCGGTTTTTGATGCGAAAGACGCGGTAGAGGGGTTTGCGGCGGAGGTGTTTGGATTCGCGGCAGTTATCGACGACGATTTCCCAGATTTTGCCCGGTCGCATGGCTAGGTATGTGCGGCAGAATGGGCATTTGTTGTCGCCGCATGGTTTGTAGGCATCAGCTAGGGGCATGAGGGGGTTGTCCTGGAGCTCTTTTGCGTAGATGCAGAACAGCCGAGTCTTTGTTGGCTTGTCCTCGGGTTTCGGCTTCGGCTTCAGATCTGGCTCTGGTTTTGGTGCTGGCTTCGGTGCTGGCTTCGGTTTGGAAATCGGGTTCGGAATTGGGAGTATTTTGAATTCCTTGTCCTCTGAGGAGGTCGATGAGCTTGAGCTGTCACCCGTACGCCGCCTTGGCTTGAATGGCTTTGTCGTGTGCCAAGTATCCTCGGGGTCTGGAAAAGCTCCAGGCGGACTGCAAGGCGGACTGAATGGCGGATCTGGCTGCCTTGGGGAAGGTGAGGGTGTGGGCAGCATACGTTGATACTGCATGCTCAGTGCCGCCATCGAGGCTGCACGCGCTGTCCGTGTGGTCTGGATCAGACGTACAAGATGCGAGTGGGTGGATGAGGGTGCGATATACGAGCTCATCGACAGGTCTTGGTGTATAACAAGAAGTACCTTCTGAAGCTGTATGATTTGTGATTGTAGTTGGATCTGCGCCGTAGCTTCGTCGAGTTAGTATGTAGCCCGTGAAGTCAAGATGAGCACTTACCATCCCCACGAGCAAAGGACTCTCCTATCCTCCGATATCCACGTTCATATTCGGCTCGGATTTGAGCAGAAGAGGTAAAAATGAGCTCTCCTTCGCTTTCACAAAGGTCCTTGCTGCTGCCCGACATGCCGAATCCAGAGTCGCGGCGCCTGTGCCCAAACATGCTGATGTGGAATCTGTCTTCATCGTCGCTGTCTTTGGGACTAGACTTGCGCTTCAGCTTTTGATACAGATCGCTTGCTGATCCAAAAGAATCAGTCAAAGCTCGCACCAGAGATGCGACGATTACCAATTCTGTCAATAAGCCTTTGGCCTGTATAAACTCGGTCAGTACTTTGCTATGATCAATATGCGAAACTGGTGTCACCGCCAAAGCGCTAGTTTTGGGATGGGAACATACCGCTTGAACCGCTTCTTCTGTTTCTGGCTTCATTTCGATGAGGAAAAAGAGTATGCAAAATTCGTGAGTTGTGTAGTGCAAAAGGAGAATGCAGACATCAAATGAACGACTACATCTTGCGCCTGACAAGAGCCGAACCACCAGGCAACTATTTCTACACCAGATCATACAGCAGCTATAGCCTCAGGTGAAAGGCATGGATTCACATCCGATGTATCATGGGTACCTTTCGGACCTGGTCTTGGTAGTCGCATGCTTGCGCCTCTTCACGTGGCGTCTGAAACATGACTGGTGTGGCTCGTACTGACCACCGCACGAGTACGGAACGAGACCATGAGGAGTGCTGTTGAAATAGTCATAAGGGTCTCACAACCCACCGATTTCACTTGTAGCCCAGAATACTTTCAACGACTGCTTCGTGTGGGGATCTTGGTGCGCTGAGTGAGCCTTCTGTTGATGAGGCCCGAATAGTCCGCGCCACATGCTCGACGGCGCATGCGTGACATGTTCTAAGACAACAACAGCATAGTCGATGACCAAAATGTCGAAGTCCTCTCAATAAATCCTTCTCGCTAAGTGAGAGTGAGATGTATGGCTAGTCCTCCTGTGAAAGTGTGCCGGTTGCATCGTGCTGGCGCTTGAATTCGGTGGGGGTCTGTTGAGTCCAAGCGGACAGCCTTGGAGCGCAGTCTGATCGACAGCAGCGCATCATAATGGGCCTAGCCAGGGCGGCTGTCGTACTGCAAATCTGTGACATCGTCCCGTTCCGTACCGCAAAGGTAATTTATTAGGAAGAAGGAGGTCGTGCTCCGGTTAGAAACCGAGTAAGCGTCAGGTGACGCCACAGCGCACTTGGACTTGGCACGCGTCTCATGCCTCGCTGCACATCATCGTGACTACATCACTTGCTCTGCTCACCCCTTGTGCCCGCCCAAAGCTTCGCCGCATTTCAGGACGAATACTAGACATTGCACAGCATCCGTCATGGATGCAAGCCATGTCGTTATCGCCCGTCTTCCGCCGAGCGCAGGTACCCGGAAATCAACTGGGGTCCGCCGGGCGCTTCGAGTTTCATCACATCAAATGATTCGCTAGGAGCATCCCAACGCAGCATGCTTTCAGAAGCGCGCTCCTACTCAAGGCACACTCTGTTAGCGCCGTGCTGGGGATTCGCTATTGCTGTGCCGCAAAGATACCATCCAAAAGAGACGTGTTCGCTGCCCGCGAACCATCAGCCGCATTTGCTTATACGTCTTCGTGGCCTTGCAGCGTCGCGTGACGAAGCGCATCAGCAATCATGAGTACGACTACCAATTCCCGATGGAACCCATTCCGACGTCATGTTTTGGGTTCTAAAGCAGAAGAGACACCTTTAGCACAACCACCCATGTCCGCACCCCAATCAAAGACATGGGAGACAACTGTTGAGCGAGTGAACAGCTGGCCTGAGGAGGCCAGGCCTTTGAAGAAGCATACGTGGTTAACGTTCATGTACGGTATTGGAGATTTCATCATGGTTTTGTTACCAGTATATTTTATACGTAAGTATACAGGCACGACGTATATGCTGAGCAAAACTGACTTGTGGGAAGTCTTAGGAGCCGCAGTTATCACACTAAATGGAAAGCCCACAAAAGGATCCGATTTTGGAAAGAAAGTGGAATTCGCCATGGGTTTGGTCAGCTACAAGCGTGCAATGACACAAGGCTCACGCTAACCAAAATTTAGGGTCCTACCATGTTTCCAATCGTGTTTGCAGCAATCAGTGGGCGAAGCATGAAAATGATAGCCAGATTCCTCGCTGAAAAGGGTTCCAAGATCAGCGTGAGTCTATGGACTTTGCATCTATGAATAAGAACTGACTGGTACATTCGTAGACTCTAGAGCTACTAATGGCTAGCCAATCCGTCTGGGGAACAGTGGAGAGTCAGATAAATATGCAACGTCTGACTCTTGTCGGCGTCAACCTATTGTTCCTGTGGGCATTATCTCCACTTGGGGGTCAGGCGTCACTTCGACTCATGACAAGACAAGACCGAGACACCTTCGCGAACTCCAAGCTGCGGTACCTCACAACCGGCCCGGGCGGAAGCATGTGGGGCTTGTCCTCAACATATGTCGGCAGTGGGAGGTTTGCTGATGCGGGAGCCTTATACTCTGCGGCCTTGCTAGCGCCTCTGGAGACCAAAATAGGTCCAAGAGACCCATGGAACAATGTCAAGATTCCAAACATCGATTATATCAACGACACTCATGCAGACACAGAAGGATGGATAACAGTACCTGCTATACAACAGCCAGAGACGTATTCTGCACTCGTTGGGCTTCCAATAGTTGGGCTTCCACAAACGAGGCGATCAAACTTCACGATTGAATCGAGTTACCTGACGGTGGAGTGCGGTCGCTTCAACCAAACACCATATCCGGGGCTTAACAATAGTACTAATATGTCCAAAACTAACTTTGCTAAATTGGACGAGCTTGTTCCTGGTCAAGTTTGGAAGAACAAGTCTTTGAACAATCCGTTCGAGCCAGCCGAAGGCAGATCTTCATCATTCTTTATCGACACAAATCTCGGATCACCCTGGGATACTGAAGACCCTATGTACGAGACACTAATTGGACGACTGGATGCTTTCTTTGGCAATTACAACAAGACTCGACTTAGTAATAAGCAGGCACAAGAAGCAAGAGAGATTTCATTCACATCAGTCTATGCTACAAGCGTAGATAGTAACGTATTCGGTTTAAACATGGCGCGCTGTAACTTGGCACAAAACCATGTTGAGGCAATGGTTGAGTGCACTGGTAAGGAATGCGTAACTAAGAAAGTCAGAAAATCTCTGTCGGATTCACGGCCTTCAACTTATACGGCATTCGAGCATGGAGTCATCATGGCAGGCTTTGCACAGCAGTTTCCGCTTGCAGTAGCCTATAGTGCTGGATCAAGTCCAACTGAGCGATATCTTGCCAACAGCTCCGCTTTTCCCTTCGTACAGCAGGCCGGCCACGTTACACAAGACATAATGTATACCAACCTATCCTTGGTCGATCCAGAACTTTTCTCCCGACGGTTGAGTTCGGCTATAAATACTTACTATCAGCTTACAATACAACCAACGGGATATTTCGGAAGTCTGTCAAGCAACTTGTCTCTATACGGTCCGGATACGCTCCCTTTCAACGACGTTGATAAGTATTTACCAAGCGACTCCCCAGCTACCAACAGCTCCTTCTTTGACTGGTGGTCGAAATTTGATGTAGTAGCACAGAACAGTCAATCACCCTTCATAGGAGCAACAACTACTGCAACAGTTACGACCACGGAGGAGATATTTGTTGGCGAAGTGTTATGGCTGTCACTACTCATGGTGTCTTCCGCCGTGATCTTGGTTATTGGGATTGCGGCGCTGGTTCTCAAGCAACGCACTCTCGGGCCTGAGCTATTCGGATTCGTCTCGAGCATGACTTATGAAAACCCCTGGGTGAAAATTCCTAGTGGTGGGACCATGCTGGACGCCATGGAAAGAGCAAGGCTTTTGGGAGATGTTCAGGTGCACGTTGCTGACGTACGCGGCAATGACGATGTGGGCCATATCGCCTTTGCTGCCGGCGTACCCCTTCGCAAACTGGAGAAAGGGCGCCTCTATTATTGAGGCAGTGGTCGCTCTAAACGTATCCGGAATGTCCGTTTAAGGTAGCATGTGGCGCAGCACCCGACGTCAATGCCACTTGTCTAGCCGGTCCCAAGCTGCACATCTGTAGCGCTCGGAAAGCCGCATGATTGATGGGAACCACAGATAGCCAACCGGATCTTAATGGACGAGAAACGTGGGCCTTGAAACAATGCAACTGTCATTCTGGTGGGCACAAGACCATGGGACACGACGCGAAAACCACTCTCCACCATACTCCACACCACGCTATGATCTGCACGTTGCCGCTGGACATCAGCCAGTCCTATGCTTTGGAAAGCTAGGAAATGTGACAGCGCAGCTGTTATTCGGTGAACGGATCAAAAAACAAGCATTGCGATCGGGCGCTGTGGAGTAAGCCAGGGCAGCGTGAAGTTATCGGTGTACACGAGGGCGTACGCGGCTCACCAATCGGCCACTGGAAACAGGGATGGTAAGGCCGGAGGTGCGACGTAGCATAAAACGCCCAGGGGTCTGGCTCGCTTGCTGGCCTGCTAAGCGACTGAGCCTCATCCAATGATCAACCAGATGCACCCTCGAAACGAAACCTCGCCTAAGGCCATTCATCGAAGCATGACGATCCCCGACTATACGCAATCATCGCCTTCCTGCTTGGGCGTCGACGCATAACATATATGCACTGACGTTGTAAAATGCTACAATTCCTTTGGCTGGGAGCCTCAGTGTACCTGAACTGCACGTTTCATACCGTGGGCGCTTGCCACTGTGGAGCGACGCCTTCGTTCATAACCCCCTGTTTTGTGTTTTTACACTTGCCTGCTAGGCTGGCTGTTTGATTAGAGGGCCAGAAGAAGAGAATCGTTGTGGAGTTGTGGTGTGGTGGCGGAATGGATACAGTATCCACATTTTGGATGTCGTGACATCTGTATAAGAGACTGTAACCACCCGCCAGTAATGAGTATCATCATCACAGCATTCTTTACATTCTTTGCATTTGCATAGCATCTTTTTCTCTCTAGCTGGGCTAGTTGATTTTTCACTTTACAACACATTCTTTAGCCAAACAACTTTTGCACGACGCACAACACCTTCACCAACACCGCCATCATGCTTTTCCGATCGATCTTTCTATCAGCAACGGCCCTGGTTGGCACCACAAACGCTCACATCAAGATGTCAAACCCTGTACCGTATAGTGCCGACAAAGTTGATACATCACCCATCTCCAAGGCGCAATACCCTTGCAAGTCCCAGAATGGTTTCACTGTTACCACGATGAACCCTATGAAGGTTGGAGAGGAGATGCCACTGAAGCTCGACGGTACTGCCGTCCATGGAGGAGGCAGCTGCCAGCTCTCAGTTTCTTTGGACACCGAACCCACTGCCAACTCTGTGTTCAAGGTTATCAAGTCAATGGAAGGAGGATGCCCTGGTATTGAAGGAGGTACCAACAACTACACTTTTACCCTTCCAGACAGCATTCCCAACGGCAAGGCTACTTTTGCCTGGACTTGGATGTCAAAGCTTGCAGGCCAGGCAGAACTCTACATGAACTGTGCCCCTATCGAGGTGACCGGTGGTGCTAGCGACAAGAGTGGTTTCGATGCACTTCCTGATATGCTGGTTATCAACATTGACAAATCCTGCGAATCAGTGCCAAACTCCGCTGTTAAATTCCCCAACCCAGGTTCAGAAGTGCAGTTGGGAAACACCAACGACTTGAAGGCCCCTACCGGAGGATGTGCCTCTTCTGGTTCTACTCCTGCTGAGCCATCTTCCCCTGCTGGTGGCGAGCCTTCTCCTGCTCCCACATCTCCCGCTGGTGGTGCACCCTCTGCTCCCTCTCCTCCCGCCGCCGGCCAGCCTTCTGCCGCTCCTACTTCTGCAGTTGGAGGCCAGCCTACCGTTGCCCCAACTCCACCAGCTGGCAGCAAGCCCTCCGCCGCACCCCTTCCCCCCAACGGCGGTGGTGTCTTCGCCCCTGGAGCCTCCAGCGGCTCTCCCGCCGGCCCTACCGCCCCAGTCCGCCCCTCAACCTCCACCACCCTCGTCACTGTCACCGCCACTCCTACTCCTCCCGTCCGCCCTACCCCTCCTGCGGGCACCGGCTCTCCTGCTACCCCCACCACTCCTTCTACTCCCGGCGGTGGTTCAGGTACTCCTTCTACTCCTTCCACTCCTGGTGGTGGTTCATCCACCTGCTCCGAGAACGGTGCCATCGTGTGCAACGGCGCTACCCAGTTTGGTATCTGCAACAATGGCAAGCTTGTCTGGCAGGAGGTTGCCGCTGGCACTACTTGTGCCAATGGTAGCATCACCAAGAGGGGCTACAATGGACGTGTTGTACGCTCACACTTGATGAGCCGTCGGGTTGGTCACTACTAGGTTTCTACACTCGCTTGATGAGTTGTGGTGCCGACGCACACATACGTTCTTACACTCTTTTTCACACTTCTTTTCTTTCGACAAAAGGTCTGGGACCGATTCTTTTCTTCTTTTCTTCTTTTGGGAGGTGGATAACGCCTACCCACCATTCTTTCTTTTCTTTTCTTTTTCTTTTTTGGGATGAGTTCGAGAGAACTCGAAACTGCTACTGCTGCTGCTGCTGAAAGTAGTCGTTGTTCGTTGTGCATTTTACAGGAGTTTGAAACACATGGAAAGGAAACAACAATCGTGTTCTTTGGAAGACACGAAGGAAGATACACATATCGGGCGTTTGAACATAGGAAATGGGGAAGATGTCGGTGTATATAACAAACCTCGGCTCAAAGCTAGGGGGAAATTCGAAATTCAAACATCGTTCCTATCAAAATGTCTCTTTTTGCCCCCCTTCACGATGTAAATATCTCATCTTTTCAATGGTACCTTTAGCCACATACTATCATGAAGTAGGTAGATAAGATATCCCTGATTAATTCGGAGCCAAGATACATAGTATAGTGCTAGACTTACCTTACCCAGAACAGAAAGCCCCCTCCCTCCAAAATCACCCAAGACCCTATATACTCTAACGCTTCGATAGAATCACACCAAGAAAACACATGTGACACCATCATCTCCCTAAATAATACTACACAAGGATTTCCCTTGAAACTAACCCGCGCAGACTTCACAAAAGTACCGCATCAGCACTAAGCCCCTCCGACCTTCTTCATCCGGTATGCCAAAAAAATAATCGTACGTAATAATCATCCCAACCTCTCTCTCCCTCCCATCAATCATCAATCAGACGATGGAGATATCGTGGGTACCTGGGCACTGCTACATGATTGAATTGGGCCTGGGGGTCAAAAGATGAATGTTACAGTGCGATGGTTTACGTCGAAATCACTTTACATTGGTGGTTATTGCAAATAGTAGGGCGGTTCTTGGCGGCGCCTTGTCGAGCGCGAGTACGAGGATACTTTACTTGAGTGGGTTTGGTGGGGATGCGGAGGTGGTTGGGGCGGAGGGGCTAGGGGTGTGTGTAGGTAGCATGGTGGGAAGGGATACGATGGGGAACGTGCTGGTGGATGTGTTGGCACGGGAGGAGGGTTAATAGTGTTAGTGAGGAGGTCTATCTGTGTGTGTGAGATGAATGGTTGTGTGGTATTTTGGTGGGAGGAGGATGTGTATGGGTTAGGCGGGACTCAGGGATATTTTATCCCCGAATACCCAACGATTGGATATAAGTAAGAAAGAGTGATTTTTGTGTGTTTGATGCTGTAGAGAAGACTATTGATTGATAGTCTTTTAGTTTTTCCGTTCATTCCAGCATGGACCGTTGGTTCATCTGTGCTTACGTGATGCCAACGCTATTCTGGACTTTAGTCTGACCGTGTTCAGTATTCGGGGAGTATTTCGGGCGTAGTTAATCTAGCGACATTAATAAGTGGGGAACGACAAGACTCGAGACCGTTTCTAGTATACCACTTGACACTTGTGATGGGGTGATTGCTTTCTTGATTCATGGGGCTATTTACTACTTCTTCGTTCGTTCCTTCTGTCTACTTAATGTAAAATTATCGGGGGTTGGGGGTATATCTAATTCTTCTCATGATGCTTATCCTTATATGGCGTCCAAAAGGCAAAAACAATATTGGTACACTTTCTCTCGTTTAAATATTTATACAAGTATCGTTCAAATTTGTTTCTCGTTCCCCGCTTGACCGTGTGATGAGCTGGGGAGAAGGACCTGGTCATCTGGTAGCTCGGCCACGTGGATCTGAGCTAGGTCCTTTTCCGAAGGCGAAATTTCGGGAGATAGTGCGGGTCTGGAGGGGGTTGTTAGTCCGGACGTTCAGAGACAGTAAATAGTTGTGATGCTTACTGCGGAGCCTTGGGCATCACATTAAGGTTGTATGCGTATTTTTGTGCCGGGGGGTAATATTCTTCGCTGCTCAACTCTGGGGGTTGTCGCGAATTCTCCTGTGTTTTCTTGGCTGCCGCCTTTCTGCGACGCCAGCAGAAAAAGGCGATAAGGAAGATGACAGGAATGCCTAGACCGAGACCGAGACCCAGACCAATGCCGAGTGCGAGGTAATTCGGGCCTTGAGTTGAAGATGAGGCTACTTCAGCGGATGTAGAGCTATTCGCTGAGCCATTTGCGGAACCGTTCGCGGAGCCAGTGGGGAGAGCAAAGGAAGTTGCTGGCAAGTTGCTGGGTGCCTGAGACTTCGCTGTAGCGGTTGGTTTGCGGGTTTGGGTGAAAGACTCGAGGATGACTGTCATGGTGGATACGTTTGCAGGCGTTCCATCAAAGGAAAAGACCTCGAACGGATTTTCACACTTGCAGTTATCATAGCAGCAGTAAGAGTCGACATCAGTGACGTTGCAGCTGTATACGGGTGCGCCAGCGTGCATGTTATCTGTATGGCAGTGAGTATGTAGGATACATGGGTCTGGATGAGGGCACGCGACTTACCAAAACACTGACGCACACAGTTTCCGCTCTTCCAGCCTCGATCTGTGCATGTTCCTCGATGAGTGCGAGCTTTTGCTGGGTCATGGGGGTCGGAAACGCATAGCCCGTTGGAAAGACATGCTTGACGGTCGAAGCAGCAAGAGGAGACTATGGCATCCGGGTTGCAAGCAGTGTCGAGAGTAGACTCCTGGCCATCTGGAAACCAGCAAGTAGCAAGGACAGACGAAGAAAAGGTGAGTAGAACGGGAACCAGCGCAACGATCCGCATGATGGGCGATATGGGGGTGGTGGTTAAGGGTGTAACGACTGGTCCGTACAAAAGATACGAGAGGCACGCAACAGCGACTATGGCAGGCGCCTTATAGTGGGATTGGAAACTCGTAGCATAAAAAGTGGCCAAACCTGATTGTTCGTAGCCACGATCCTCCGGTGATACCGCGGGGGCTTTGAGTGGTTTTGATTTGCCATGGCTCGCCTCAAGCGCACTGGACTACGATGAAAGGCGATACTCGGTGAATAAGAAGCATGTAGGGGTCCTGGGAGTAATCAGCCCGCTTATAGTAGGTTTCATAATGCAACCGTCATGCAGGTCCAAAGACGAAAAATTTAGAAACACGAGGTCCAGAATGGACAAGAAACAGATAGAGTGGCCTCCGCATCCTTATGCAGGTGGTGCCAAGGCGAGCGAACTGGGAAGAGAGCCAGATGAGGCAGCCCGCATTGACCGGCCCAGCAGGGAGCCGGGGTCGCTTGGCAGTCCCGCCGCCCTGCAACGTCTCGCGTTGCATTTGACACGCCCGCGACAACCGTCACCACTGCCACGACTCTGACGACGCTGGCAGCCTTGACCATGCCCGCCCTACCATCCTCCTAACCATGTATCGACCTGCGTGCCAACATCACATGACACCCCGACCAAGCATTAGTATACGCCTGCCATGTCTGAGCCGCGACGGTCGACGAGGGCACGCGCTCGCGAAGAAGCTGTTCCGGCCGTAAAGCCTTCGCCCTCGTCCTCGTCATCGCTGAAGAAGCGCAAGAGGACGAGTGCGGTAGGCAAGGAGCAGCCTCAGTTGCCACCATCATCAGCATCAGGCCCATCAGCAGCAGCAGCATCGTCCACGCCGCCAGTCACTGACGCACCACCTCTCCCCCCCAAGCAACCGGCACTTCCGCTACGCATTGTTGACGGCGCACCACTCCCTACCCTATCCGAACCCCAGCCGCTCGACCTCCCATGCAGCGAATGGCAAACGATCCAGCAGAGCGGTGTGCTTGAAACATCATTTGAGCGATCCAAGGCCGTGTGGCTGTCGGGCGCAAACTTTCGCACTTTCCACTCGCACTTCACCCAGCCCAAGAAGCTGGCCGACCGCACTGATGAGGACCGCGCAAAGGCCCAGCGCCAGAAAGAGCTGCTCAAGAACTTCCCCCAGGTCGGCGCCGACCGCGTCGTGGTTAAGCTGGTCATTGAGCCGCATACGCTGCCTATAAGGCTGTATGGCCCGCGCGAGGTGGCCAAGCCAATGCACAAGAAGACGCCTGCACCCTCGCCCTATGCCCCATGGCCCGCTCATCACCACCCGCACTCCCACAGTCAGCACCAAAAATACCACCATGTCCCGCCGCCCCTCCACCAGAAACCCCCGCCGCGGCCGCCTCAGCCACAACCACCTAAGCCAGTCCAGGTCGCACCTCCACCCCCCGCGCCCCCCGCGCCCTCTCCCGCCCCTGATCCCGTCATCCACATGCTCGCTGCTAGAGCTGGTACCGACCCGGCGTTGAAGGCTGTCATGAAGATTGTTGCTGCGGGCGAGGCCAGCAAGGAGCAACTCGAGTTTTTCCAGACGCATATCAACGAGCTGACGGCCATCCTCGCCCGCCAAAAGGAGGAAAAGATGCACAAGCCGGCTCCCGCGCCGCCTGCCCCAAAGCCTGCGCCGCCGCCTCCACCGCCAGCTCCGCCAAAGCAAACAGCCCCGCCTCCGCTCCCGCGGCCTGTCCAACCCATGCCCCAGCCTATCCAGCCTAACACGCCCAAGACTTATACCCCAGGTCCTTCGCAAGTCCACATGCAGCAGCAGCAGCAACCTCCTCCGCTCTATCAACCCCACCCGCCATATCCCAACAATTACAGCAAACCACCTCAGTACCACCCGCCACCTCAAGTACCCGTCTACAACCCTCCGCCGAGAACGACGTACCGTCCTTTAGTCTTTAGCTTTGTCCATGGCAACGAGGACAAGTTTTACTTTCCCTCGTACAGTTTTATGGAATGGCTGCCCAATGGCACTGGCGCAAAGCTATCGTTTCTCATCACCAAGATGAAGCCAAAGCCAAAGCCGGAACCCGTCGCCGAACCGCCTTCGACGCCTGCTCCAAAGGCCACGCCAGCGCCGACCCCAACACCAGCACCCGTACCAGCGTCAAGCGCACCCACACCCAGCGCCCCGACACCCGGTGTCTCTACACCTGGCCCAGCTCCCCCGAACGTCACGACGCCTACACCAAACCCCTCGAACCAGGCTTTTACATCCATACAGCCCGCCACTGCGGCACCTCCACCACCTGCAACACCTGCAACGCCATTCGTCCCATCCAAATCACCTCAACGAATTGAGGAATTCGACGAGATGAACGAAATAGACAACATTGAGTTTTATCAGCCAGTCACTGTGCTTTTACTTATCGAAAACGACGACGGTGATGAAATCGCCAGTGCGCTTCCCCGCTCAATCCGACCACCACACATTGTTGAAAAATACATGAACGAGGTGTTTGATCGCTGCAAGCGCGCCGACGAGACGTATCTGGCATTCAGGCTGCCGAGAAGTAGCGACGAAGCGCCAGAGAAGAGGTTGAGGAGCGGCGACGTGACGCCTGCAATTGCAACACCAATCCAGGATGTTAATATGTCAGGCACTGGCACGGCTACAGTAAGCGCAGCCGATAGAAAAAAGGCTGGACGACCTAGGAAGAGTCTGGTCTGAAGTAATGTTGAAGCATGTACGTATAGTTGTGCTGATATTGGATGAGAACCATGAACAAAATAATAGCTCGTATTACTACAAAAGTATAAATGATACCCGAATTTTGAGCATCGCTAGATGCTTCCTGAACATTGTTCCTTGTGTAATATCGTCTCAATGGGTGAATAAACTTAAATCCTTCTCTTCGTTATAATCAGGCTACCAAATGAATATTGCAACATGTGCAATGCCAACAGTGGCCTGCAACATTTCTCCATACCAAACGAGAAATAGAAAAGAAGCGTCGCGATAAACCCCAGCAATCGTTATCGCCGACGCCAAGCCCCACCCCCCTCTATCGGCCCTCACATACTCATCCGGCCTAGTTCCCCGACTTTCTAGCCCGCACCACCGCAACAAGCCCTCCCCCAAGTCCGATCTAGCCATCTAGCCATCTTGTTCTTTTTTCTTCCCCGAATAACCTCATCTCACCATCCCAATTCCACATTTTCTTCATTTCCGTCCTGAGCCATTCGACTTTTTTTTGTTACTTAGTAGGGGGGCCCTGGCAACGAAGAAGGGTGCTCGCGACAAAGATGCCAGATTTGAAAGTATGGTTCACAAGAGCGTACTGGACGTTTGCTGGGTTGGGTATACTTTGGGCGGTTTTTCTAGGAGCACTGGTTAGTCCGAAGTTTCAGAGGCAGTGAGTTTTCCCCCCATATCCTTCTTTCTTTTTTATTTTTCTCGTTGGAAAGGAAAGAGGTGGAGAGAAGGAAGGAAGGTTGGAGAAGATGGGAAGAGAGAAGGATGAACTGACAATGATAGTGCGCTATATGCTCATAAATTCCACACGGGGTTCTGGAATAATGTGTCGAATCCTGAGGAGTTTGGGTTTGCGAGTAAGTTTATCCGTTTTATTCCCATTTTATCGTATCTAGGTTGTGGTGGTTTGTGAAGATGAGATTGAAGTGGTGCCTTTGATTGACTAACATGGTTTTTGCCAACAGAGGGCCAGGTTCAGCCGTTCTGGCTCACGACTTTTGATAATGAGAAGTTGTTTTGCTGGCATGTGCTTCCTCTAGATGTGTATCTGGAGAATGAACACGAACTTTCTACTGCCGCGGCAGTGGGACAGGCGGTTGAAGAGTTGAAGGGGACGGTGGGTGAGAAGCTCATGAATAGGGATGTTGATACTAGGATCGTGATCAACTTTCATGGTGTAAGTTTCTGTTTCCTATTTGCCTTCCCTGATTGCTCATACTTTCACTTTCCTTCTGTCCTTTTACGATATTCATATCGTACTGTCATTCGGACTTGATCCATTCTCTCTAAAGACTTCATCTCAAAGAAACGAACCTCACTTCTCACACGCATACAGAACGCCGGACATATCGCCCAAGGTTACCGCCCATCAACTTACCGCTCCATCTCCGGCATCCCAAAAACCCACCTCCTAACCTGCGACTACCGCGGCTTTGGACATTCCACCCTTAACAACCCTCCCCACATCCCCACAGAACCCGGAATTATCACCGACGCCATCTCCCTAGTATCTTACGTAACCAACGACCTCTCCCACCCCATGTCCCGCACTGTACTCCTAGGCCAAAGTCTCGGCACCGCTGTCACAGCAGCCACAGCACTCTACTACACGGACCCTACTTCCCCCCACCTCCCCTCTTCCCTCGCCACCCTGCAACCATCCCCCAAGCCCGCCAAAGAATCATTCGCAGGCATAATCCTCGTAGCCCCCTTCCGCACCCTCCCCCTCCTCCTCAAACACTACCGCATCGCCGGCATCTTCCCCATCCTCAAACCTCTCCAACCCTACCCCGTCATAGCAAACTTCCTCTCCTCCCGCATCATCGACACCTGGCCCACGCTTCCCCGCCTGCAATCTTTCATCTCCGCCGAGAAATCAAAGAAACACGGCTTCTACATCTCCCTCCTCCACGCCCGTAATGATCAGGATATCTCGTATCACGAGAGCGAAACTCTATTTGAGCCGTTGCAGACGCTTATGCTGGGGTCCGCAGAGACGGCGGCGGACGTAGCGGCTGAGGAGACGAGACGCAGTATTCATGGTGGCGAGCGTGTTAAGCGTGGTGCGTTTGCGTATAAGAAGGTTGAGGATGCAAAGGGGGAGCGATGTGTGGAGCTTGAGGTTACGCGGTATGGAGGGCATAACGAGGTTGTGGGGTGGGCGCAGGTGGCGCTTGCGGTTCGGAGGGCGTTTGAGAGGAGGGCACGGAGGATGAGGCCGGGGTTAGATGTTGAGTAACTTGTATCTTTATTCTTTGAAAACAAAGAAGTGGAGAGATAGAAGGTTTATTGTTGTTGAGGGGGATATCATTTTTTCTTCAGTCATTTAAAGGCTGCGTGGTCATTTACAATACATGTACAAATAGTCTACATACACCGAGTGTTTTGGTTCCGTAGATACGCCAGACATTTCCGTCTATATGCAAGTCATACATTTCTTGTCCATGTTGTCCTGCTTTTTCACCAGGGTATACCATTCAAGTCCTCAACATCTTCTCTTCGATATGCTTGTTCCGCCAATATTTCAGGCTCAGGCATTCCTCTCCTTCTGCTCCTTCTCGTACTTGGCAACAAGCTCCTTCTGCAGCTGAGGCGGCGCAGGGCTGTAGTGGCTGAACTCCATGCTGAACTCTCCCTTACCCTGCGTACTAGCACGTAGCTGGCTACTAAAACCAAACATGCTGTTAAGACTGCAGTCAGCATAGACTGTAAAGTCCTCTGGTCCGATTTCTGTATCGTTGATAACTGCGTTCCGCTTGTTCAAAAGTCCAACAACGGAACCCTGGAACTCGTTTGGCGCGGTAATGGTAGTCTTCATGAGAGGCTCGAGGACTTGTGGTGCACCGGACTGGAAAGCCTTGCGGAAAGCCTGTTGAGTAGCGTTCTTGAAAGCCATTTCCGAGGAGTCGACGGCGTGCGTTGCTCCGTCGTTGATGACCATGGAAGTACCCAGTACTTTGTGGCCGAGAAGAGGTCCCTTTGTCGTTGATGCCATGAATCCCTTTTCGCAAGCGAACAAGAACTTTTCTGAGATAGTTCCACCAGAGATTTGCTGCTCGAACTTGTTCTCGGTTAGGGACTCGCTGGGCTCCAACCATCCTACTACACGCGCGAAATCTCCGGATCCACCACTCTGCTTCTTCAGCGTGTGGTCAAAGTTGACGCGCTTGGTAATTGTTTCACGGTATGCGACCTGTGGCTGTCCGGTCTCGCATTCGACTCGGTACTCACGGCGCATGCGCTCGACGTAAATGTCGAGATGCAGCTCACCCATACCTGAGATGATGGTTTCTTGCGATTCGGGGTCGGTGTGAACTCGGAATGTAGGGTCCTCGCGGGTGAAGCGGCTCATGGCCTTACTGAAGTTGGGTGTATCCTTGGTGTGCTTGGGCTTGATCGACAAGGAGATGACGGGCTCAGGAACGAACATAGAGGTCTGTGATATTAGCTCTATACATGTCCAGATAATTGGGACCACTTACCATAGTGTATGCAAGGTTACCATCAGTAAAGGTATCGCCGGATGCACAATCGACACCGAACACTGCGCAGATTTCTCCGGCGCCAATCTCCGGTACTTCCTCCATGTCGTTGGAATGCATGCGCACAATCTTAGGAATCCTGACCTTCTTGTCTGACCTGGCGTTGAACACATTCATGCCCTTCTTAAGCGTACCTTGGTATACACGAATGTACGTCAACTGTCCAAAGCTGCTCTCTTCCAGCTTGAATGCTAGACCGACGAATGGCAAATCATTATATGAGACTAGTTTGACTGGGGCTTCTGCTCTCTTCTTGTCCAGGGCCATGTTCTCGACTTCGGAGGGGTTCGGTAGGTAATCGCATACGGCATCGAGCATCGGTTGTACAGACTTATCGGCGAGGGCGGAACCCATCATGACTGGAGTGAACTTCAGAGAGATTGTAGCTCGTCGAATAGCAGCCTTGATCTGGGCAACGGTTGGCTCCTGCTCGTCCAAGAAGAGCTCTGCAATCTCATCGTCCACATCTGCCAATGTTTCAATAAGTTTTTGCCTCTTCTCCTTGCACAACTCGATAAGGTCAGCGGGAATTTCGTCAGTCTCCCTGATAATTTCTCCCTTAGATCCTTCGTTGTAGATGGCCTTCATCCTGACCAAATCGACCACACCCAAGAAACCATCTTCGCGTCCAATAGGCACCTGAATAGCTGCAGCTGCTATCCTGAGCTTTTGGTTGATCTGATCAACAGCCTTCCATGGGTTGGCGCCCATTCGGTCCATCTTGTTGACAAATGATAACCTAGGAATGTTGTAACGCCTCATTTGCCTGTCGACAGTGATCGTTTGACTTTGTACTCCACTGACGGCACACAGAATCATGACAGCTCCGTCAAGGACTCGCAGCGCTCTTTCTACTTCAATGGTAAAGTCGATATGGCCCGGTGTATCAATCAAGTTGATGTGGTATTTCTCTTCCTTTCCTTCGTCGTTCTTCTTGACCCAGTCACAGAAAGTGGCCGCAGACTGAATAGTGATACCCTTCTCACGCTCAAGATCCATGGAATCCATCTTAGCTCCTACAGAATCTTTACCGCGGACTTCGTGTATAGCGTTGATACGGCCGGTGTAGAAGAGAACACGCTCGGTGGCGGTGGTTTTGCCAGAGTCAATGTGCGCAGCGATACCGATGTTTCGTACTCTCGAGAGCCGTTCCCATTCGACAGGGTTCAAATTCTCGACAATCTTTTCTTGGGTTAAGGCGGATGGGTCTTCCTTGGCTTGCTCTAATCTAAACTTAATAATCAGCATTTTACTGCCGCCTCGCCATTGTGGATGGAAGTCTGTGCGGGCACATACACTTGAGCGGCCACTGAGTTCCATCTTCGTTGCTGATGAGTCCGCTGGCTTTCTATCCATGTGTCGGTCTTCAATCCATTGGTATATGGCGTGCGCGATGCGGCAATGGTCGAGAGAGCGCATCGTGAAGGCGTTCTCGCTGCCGATCGAGCAGAACAGCGAAGACTGCTCGTGGCGAGCGATTGAGCCCGAAGGATAGACTGTACCCGCATCTTGAACACCTCAAAATGCTAAAAGAAAGGGGATACAACGAAAGGACGACGCTGAGGTCTTGTCGCTTCGGGATGCCGAATCGCCCACCAGGAAAAAAGTTGGGCCATCGGAGTTTCGGGCGGAGGTGCCAGTCACGTGCTGGCGCGTTGGATCAGTGCCAAGCTAATTGCTTATTGGGGGTAACGCGCGTGCCTCGCCCCGCCTCCTACAGCATCAGTTTATCGTGTTCGCCTTGGAGAAAATTACGGATGACCTATCCTCCGCTCGAATCGCTGTTGCAAGCTTAAAATCGGCACAGAGAGGCAGACGGCAGTACCACTTCGACTGTGGTTTGTTTACCACTTCGACTGTGGTTTGTTTACCACTTCGACTGTGGTTTGTTTACCACAAGGAAATGACACCAATCGTCACGAGCACTAACTATGGCTGTGCGACTATGCCATTTGGCGTCTGCACAAAGAAGATTCCGATGAATACGATCAAACAATGTCAAGGCGGATAGCCGCATGCGGACAGCACTACTGTTGTTCATTATTGACATCCTTTGTCTGTAGTCATGACAAAGACTTCTTGTTCCTGTCTACCCAATAGATATCTTATTGGAATTCACGAAACTGCCTCTTGTGTCCCTTTTTCAGTTTGATACGTGACTTGGACAAGGTACGACTGATTTAGTCTATTTGTTTCCGTGTTGTGAAATGGCCACTGCTGACATGCGCAAGATCCAGCTATTGATTCCATACTTTTGACCAAATACACAATGGTGGATACCTACGATGGTCCTTTGGCGGACGATCTTTCCGACCTCAGCAGCCCATCTAGCCCTACGCAGACTGCGTCAATGAGCGATAGTGAAGAACCATCATCAAAGGAGATCAACCGCCGTCTGGCCCAAGCTCTGGACTACCTGGATGAGCAAGGAGGTGATGACTCTCCCACGATATATATGGAGCGTGTAAACAGAATCGACAAATATCTCGTACAGCAACTGCCTCAGCAAGGGATCAAATTTGACAATGCACTCTATCAACACTTGCGAGATACGGTCAGACAAGAGGTGGAGGCCTATGATGCGGCCAAACAAAGCGCACGAACCGTGGTGGAGAACGAAGAGTCCTTGCTGGAAAGCAGATCTGATTTGTCACCGGGACAACAATCACATTGCCACTCGGAATCTGTGACGCACGCGCTACACAGAGAAGATGAGCAAATTCATGATCCTGTCACTGGGCCCCTGAGAAAAGACGAGAAAACACAAGAAACAGTGCAAACTAAGCGGATGTTCAGGTATGGAGGACCTTCTAGTGATGCTGAGGTCTGGCACAGAAAATTCCCAGCGATCCTGCCGTTCCCAGAAACACATCAACTGGCATACTGGGAGAGTCTCAAAATTGCCTTTGACCTTGACGAATCTGTGAAAAAGCAGAAGGCAGAGGGTAGTGTTGTCGAGACTAACGTATCCTTCGACCATCCAGCCCTTGACCAATACAAAAGCCTTGGGTTATACGAATCTGGATCCCGATTCAAACTCCCGACACCAAAAAAGGAAATTGAAGAAGAGATAAGGCGGTTGTGCACGGTCGATCAAATCGCAAAAGCTGTGGAAGAATTCAACACGGGCGAGGGGAAGGATGAGTCTGGAAAGAAATATGCTCCGCGGATCTTCCTGCATAAGCTGAGCGTTCAGCAGAAAGGTATAGGATAAATCGCTTCTTCCATTATCTCACACTAACACAAATCCAGATGGTCCAACGGATATTCGACGTGCTGTAAATGCTTCACCCACTAAGCCACGTCAACGTTTAGTGCGAAGTGGTGCTCGGTCTGGCAGTGCAAACGCTACTCAAGTGCAGTTGCCGACAACAAAGAGCGCAGCAACAGATTCGAGCAGTGTTGCTGAAGCCACACCGATTGTGGTTCAGACTCCTACCAAGCTGTCCTCCGGAAAGCCACTAGCGTCTCTGCCGCGAACACGGGAAAACAGAGTAGCTATTGCAAATGACTTAGTTCGTATGGCAAGGGAAGAGGCGGAGGCTGCAGAAAAGATGGCACGCGCTGCGAGAGAAAAAGCACGCAAAGCAACACTGGATGCTCTCAAGATAGCAGATCAAGCCAACGGAAAGCTGACATCGGATAATTGTGTGTCATCCCCTGTTTCTAGAAGGATCAATCGAGAGCGTGAGATGTCGCTCGAAAAGAGTCCAAGGCGTCAGAGTGGAGTCAGCACCGCGCCACCAAGTGCCGAAACAACTCCAACAACGGATGTCGTTCCTATTGAGGAGTCCGATGATGCACCTAGGTCTGAGTCACCAGCAGTAGATATGTCGCAGTTCGTACACACACCCGCCGATGTTACCACCCCCAAGCCCAGCAGCAGCAGGACTGTTAGGCGCAAACGTAGTATTGGTGATGAAGCCTATACTCCAGAGAGCAAGCGCAGCAAGGTTGGGACGCCTTCATCGCTGGGAAAGGGCACCAGTGGAATGCATCAGACTTCGGGAAAGTCGGTTCGCTTCATGTCTGAAGACGATTCGGATGGGTCATCCGATAGTACCGTTATCACAGCAGGTAAGCGCAAAAGGGTAAGAAAGGAAGCTACTCCCAAACCTGGGAAGAAGAAATCTCCAAGTCTCAAGACGACTCCTGTTGAGGTGTCAACAGACGATACAAGCGAGATAAGCTCGCCCCAAACCAATGCAGCTACCAAGAAGTCTTCCGTTGCCAAGAAGCCTGCAGCAAAGCCTAGGACAAAGCTCGGAGGCAAGCCTGGAAACACTGCCGCAGTGGTCAAGCCAGAGAGCAGTAAAGCTACTGCAGCAGGTAAAGCTGCGCGTCGTATACGGGCGAAAAAGGTGGTGAAGGAGCAAGTTGGTGATGATGAGCACACGGAGGAGCTCGAAGAGACTGTTGTGGAAATCACAAAATTGAGAGGTACAAGGGATGGAGCGAGACATGCCAAGTGATGGGACAAATGGGATTGACCCAGCGGCATTGGTGACTGTGTTTTCTCGGCGTTTGTGTCGACATGTACAAACTAGTTTGTGTTTTTTGGGGTGTCTTCCATACACACGTCCTAGAGTCAGCTTATAGCGTGTGGAGATTCAGATAGATTATTGGTGTAATGCTATTTTGTTGTTGATATAGTAATTCGATCGGCTGCATCAGAGAGTAAAATACATGCAATATGCTCCTTGCGTATTGATAGTAAAGGGATTACCTTGTGTGGGAGAAGGGACCTGCGCGCATTAGGTACCCACCTCTCGTTGCTATTTCTCTCGCTGTTGGATGTGAGTCTGTTCTCACCGTTTCTCAATTGTTTTTTCTTGGTATTGCAGGATGATCGCCTGCCTTCAAGCTGCATGACTTTGTACTCAGTGGTAGTTTAGCGAGCGTCTTATGTGTGCTTGGCATCTTTTTTATTTTCTTATTTACAATGCAAAAACACAAATCTCGTTTTCAATATAACCTTGGCCTGGTTAAATTCGTAACTGCAGTGCGCAACATGAAACCGGCGCCTTTCTGGTACGGCTCTCATTGTCCGCGTGACGTCAAGCCTTCCACCTGGCTGCAACTTGTCTCTCTACTAACTACTAGTAGAGCTTGCGCACGCTTATCGAGTGCACGTACACACACATACACAGCTGCCGTCCTTCTCACCTTCCTTGCAAGGGGCTTCCTTTTCTATCGGCCCGACATTTTCCTCCCTTCCCAATCCGATCGATATTTGTTTTTCTTAAATACGATTATCACAACCACAGACTCTGGCGTCTACTACAAAGCTAGCTTCAAGGCCAGAATTGCAACTTCGCCGCATCCACACTCACCGCAACGGTCGATTGCTTGCGCGTGTCTGCAGCTACACGTTTCGGCCGCTTAGACATTCCGTGTCAAGATTTGTTTGCCCCCAATCCTTTGAGCAAGCGAACAAGTCCCCGCCACCCTGGCCCACCTTACTTCTATCCCTGCGATCTGGTCGTCGTTGTCTCAAAAGCAAAGTTCTTGAATCGGTAGAAACCTTCCCAGTGCCTGACCATTCTGTCGCTTCTCTATCACTTTGGGCCCGGCTTGCTGAATTTCCGCTTCTCTTGATCTGGTGGGTTTTCACCGCCTCCACCGCCAATCTTTTAGTGCATCCCTGTAAGTAAGAGTGAAAGCAAGCGCCTCTACGTGCAAACGAACATGGGTTCCCAATCCTAAATAGAACCACAATAGTTCCACGCCGTCCATCGCTTGCACAACGTGCTTAAGACCATACATCACAGCACTACAGCGAACAAAATCAGAGGCAAGCCCCAAGCACAAAATCAGTTGTGAGGCTGTAGTATGAATCGTGGCGATGGAGGCGGCCAACGAGGCGCTCGACGCAGCTCTCGTGGCGGCGGCTCTCACAGTAGTAGAGCGTCCTCCAACAGTTCCGGTAGCTCCAGTAGCCATTCCAAGACTAACCGAGCAAAATCAAAGGGTGGCTCAAATGGTCAGCACAAGCTGCACAGATCCATCCTGAAAAGCGAGGCAGCGCATCGCCAGGAAAGCAAGTACAGGTTATTGGGCCTACCGAAGACTTACTGGACAAAAGAGGTTTACCAGGCAATGTCATCGTATGGCAGCGTCTTCAGAATCGAGATGGAGATGTCGCGTAGTGATTCCAGCTACAACGCATATGTGGTGTTCAGGTAAGCCATTGGCCATAGTCAAATGAACATACCTAATGTATATCAGGCCTCCTCCCCACAAACCTATCCCTTGTGAAAAGCTGCGAGTTGGTGCTGCATATGTGCGGTCTGAAATACGCCCACCTCTTGCCGCTACTGTCCCAAGTCCCACAAATCCCGCGAAGAAGTATTACGAACTCACCATACTTTCTGCGAAGCGGATCGAGTTTGGCGTCAGAGTGGCGGAAAAAGCCATGATTGCTATGCGCACCGTCGTGCCACCTGCGAAGGATGGCGTTCAGGTGATGCTAAGCTTGAAGCGCAAAGAGCTTGATATTCTGTTTTCACTTCATATTCCCGTGGACAACCGGATGCGAAAGTTTCGCTTCTCCTTACCCATTTCTCTGATCTCGCATATTTATAAAACCAAAGATAGTACCGGCCAGCCGTCCCTCGTCATTCCATTTGACTCCACGCCATGTTTTTACATGCAGAAAAACGAAGGTGAAGACTTGGGCGACGGGCGAAAGCAAACTAGTTTCTCTAGAACAGACAAGATCTGGAGTGATTGGGATACTTGGTACCGAGTAACTGATATCGTTGATGGAGCCATTCGAACAGTTCTCCGGCGTACTCCCGTGATGAATCATAGAGGCACTGCTATCATCGACATTGGTACGTAAACATCCAAACTGACATTGGCAAGCTCCTGCTAACCTAATCAGGTCGATGGACCGACTACCGCCTTGTATTCGATAGTTCATCATTGAGTGGCCCGCAATTCAAGAACTTCAGCGACGCCCTAGTCGACTATGGAGTGGAGATCAAGGATCTCATTGACTATCCTACCAAGCGGAAAATCCCCTCGCCGTTATGGAATCTTTTGTCAGAGGAAATCTACGGTACACATCCACATCTCGATGTCACTCCCAGCAACCAGGGAATGGATTTCAACAATATCTTCGCAAGACAGGCTCATCTGAGTTTTCCGGTACGCTACCAGCTTGAAGTCTGCCTTTCAAATGGGTATATCAAAGAGCACAACATCACGACTGGATTCTTGAAGAAGTTAGAGACGCTAGAGAGCCAACAAGCCGTGCACATCTTGGAGAAGGTTGCTGATAGGCAGAAAATCTACTATGATCCTACGGAGATTTTCAATATCCCAATCAAAAGTACGAAAAGAAAGATACCCAGCTATTGCCTTCTGCAGCGATCGGTTACCATTACTCCAACCATGATGCATGTGGCAACACCTGTGATGGAGACATCCAACCGTATCATTCGCAAATATGAAGCGGATGCTGATCGCTTTGTTCGGGTGAGATTCACCGACGAGAAGTCCGAGGGTCAGCTGCGTAACCAGCCAAACGGTAGGGCTGAAGCACTATTTGACAGGGTTTTTCGTGCCATGAAGAACGGTATCGTTGTTGCCGGGAGATACTATGAGTTCCTAGCATTTGGAAATTCACAGTTCCGTGAGAATGGTGCCTACTTTTATGCGCCTACAGCGTCAAAGTCGGCAAACGATATCCGTATGTCTCTTGGGGAGTTTGATCATATCAAAACTGTATCCAAGTTTGCAGCGCGCCTAGGTCAATGTTTTTCTACAACGCGCGCAATGGGGGTTACTGTGAAGCTTGTCATAGATCAAGATGTTGAGCGCAACGGTTTCGTCTTCACGGATGGAGTTGGAAGGCTCTCCCCATTCCTGGCCAAAATGGCAGCTCAGGAACTTGGCTTGGCCAACGCATTTACTGACCCACCTTCCCTCTTCCAATTTCGACTTGGAGGAAGCAAAGGTGTGCTTGCACTCGATCCGGAATTGAATGGTAGCGAAGTTCGCATTCGACCGAGCCAATACAAATTTCGGGCTCCTCATACCGGCCTTGAAATCATTCGATCATCTTCCTTTGCAACACCATATTTCAACCGGCAGATCATTCTCGTTCTGTCATATCTTGGCGTCCAAGATGCGGTCTTCCTTCGAAAACAAGAAGACATGATGAATGAGTATTCGAGAGCAATGACTGATGAAATGGCCGCCTTACAGAAACTCCGAAAAAACATCGACATTAACCAGATTACCTTGACGATGGCTGCAATGGTTTTGGATGGTTTCATGGAATCTCGTGAGCCTTTCATCATGTCTTTGCTCGCACTTTGGAGAGCTTGCACGATCAAGAACTTGAAGGAGAAGGCACGGATCGCTATTGATAATGGTGCCTTCTTGCTAGGCTGCGTTGACGAGACCAAGGAGCTCAAGGGGCATTTCAACGACCCTCAATCCAGGCGTGATGCTACCAGGGATGAGAAACTAGCGACCCTGCCAGAAATATTCTTACGGGTCAGCGATCCCAACAACAAAGGTCATTATATCATCATCGAAGGCATATGCATACTAGCACGAAATCCGTCATTGCACCCAGGAGATGTTCGAGTGGTCCGCGCAGTGAACGTCCCAAAACTTCACCATCTCAAAAACGTCGTGGTATTTCCCCAGACTGGTGATCGCGACCTTGCAAACATGTGCTCTGGGGGTGATCTTGATGGGGATGACTACATGGTTCTATGGGACAAAGACCTGGTACCGAAACTCATCAATGAGCCGCCGATGGATTTCACGCCGGAAAAACCACTGGAGATTGACGGTCCGATTTCTGCAATGGATATGAGTAGGTTCTTTGTCAACTACATTAAAAACGATGCTCTCGGTCCGATTGCTCATGCGCATCTTGCGCAAGCCGATCTCAATGAAAAGGGCGTTGGCGATCCAATCTGTCTCGAACTGGCGGAGCTGCATTCAAGAGCAGTGGACTTCCCCAAGAGCGGCATACCAGCTGGAATGAAGCGCGAACTCAGGCCAAGGAAATGGCCGCATTTCATGGAGAAGAAGTATCTATCTCAGCATCAGATCTATAAGTCCAAGAATATTCTCGGTCTTCTCTACGATGAGGTGAAATTGATCGACTTCGAGCCCCAGTGGGAGAATCCGTTTGATAAGCGCATCCTGGAGGCGTTCGACCTCGATGAAGAGCTATTGGACAAGGCGGCGAGTCTTAAGCTCTCATACGACGAAGCACTCCGACGACTGATGGCCAAACATGGTATCAAAACCGAATTCGAAGCATGGTCTGTCTTCGTACTGGTGCACAACCACGAGAGCGGCGACTACAAATTTGCAGAAGAATTCGGCAGAACCATTGCAGCCTTGAAGCATCAGTTCCGCAGCGAGTGTCGCACTGCCGCGGAGCTAAGTGATAACAACGACTGGGCACGCCTAGGACCTTTCGTTGCTGCCATGTACACAGTCACAGCACGCGAGATGGAGACTGCTTTGGACGAGTGTACCAAAACCAAGACTATCGGAGGCAGTACCGTACCTCTTCGCATCAAGGACCCGGAGCACATGCCGCTGATCTCTTTCCCATGGCTTTTCCCAAGTGAGCTTGGAAAGATTGCTACCGGTGGTAAGACGAGTCACCAGCCGAACGGAACCAGCAATCAGCCTCGCCAAACCAAGCACGTTCGCCCAGCTAAGACAGATGCTGAAATCGGAGCTGTGGAGACAGCAGCAGGTACCACGCATTACGGAGAAATACTGGACTTGGATTTACTGGGCTTGGATCTCAGCCTCCCAGCACTTCAAGCGTGCGACCCCGTCGCAACACCTGAGAGGCGGTAGAGCCCGGATAGTAGTGCCAACGACGAACCCGATGCTCAGACTCCGGTAGCAAATACGACTCCATCGTTCTTTGACGTACTCTGTCCACCCGTCATTGAGTCTTGCCTGGATCCAAAAAAAGGAACAGCCAAAGGCGGTTACGAAGGAGACCTTGAGCGAGTGGGTCAGCATCCAGGAGAAAGAGGAGGCAGAGGATTGAGACTACGGGCTTTGATGGGCTGATAATCTGAGGCTCTAGTTTCCAAACATAATTAATTCGGTTCTGTCTCAAAGGGCTCTCATTTGAAACTTTTCCATGATATGGAAAGATATAGGGAAGAATAGTAGTCAGCGTCCAATACCCATGGGTAATAGTCGATGCGGACTACACATGATCATTGGCATGAAACCGGTGTAGATAAAACATTGATAAAACAGATAATAAAATATGAAAATTAGCACCCCTAAAGACTATGTACTAAAATCCGGGTATGAACTAAAACATATGATACATATGACTAAGTGATAATGGCCTACATGTACTATATAACCATGCTCTATCTACTTACTGTTACAATTACTCTTATGAGGTATATGTGTATAAGCTTTCCTCACCATCCCACACCACTCCCCAAAAAGAATCTAGTCCTCCCGCTTCTTCTTCTTATCCTTAAAATCCTCGATTGCAAACCCCCATCCTCTCTCATCCTGCACAAGGCTCACAACCAGCGGTTCCGTATTCGCCTTCATATCATCCATATCCTTCGCGGCAGCTACATCTCTCAGTCGATGACCCGCGAGCAACAACGGCAAAATCGATGACTTCCATACTGGAACCCTGGACTTATCAAACAGCATCTTGCCGCACGTGATGCACAACAAAAGTATGGTTAAGATGATTAATGCAAGTGGGAAACTCAACCACACCCAATCGAACTTTGTGCAACTTGTCGTGCGAAGAACAGTTCCTGTAGCGAATGTAGGCGGAGCACTGTAAGACTGGGGATGATAATAAGACCCCTTTCTACGCATCTCGCTCGTAACGGCCGTCGCGACGGATTGCATGTTGCGATCGATGGCGTCGAAGCTGGCGAGGCCATTGTTTACCAGTGTCTCGAGCTGCCAGGGGTCGCACTTCAGGGTTTTGTAGTCGTTTTTATAAAACTCGGCGTCAAGTTCTGGAATGGTGGTGCAGTTTCCGTTCATGAGGGATTTCATGAACGTTCCAAGACTCATTGCGTAGATTCCATCGGTGCCATAGATGCAGGCTGTTGGGAAGGTTGTGTTGGTGCTGTAGAGATTGTAGGTGGTAAATTTGTTGCCCTGGATTGGTACGGAGGATATGTTATCGCGTGTGTATGTTTGGTCGTCAATGATACAGGGGTCGTGCAGGTCCTTGAAGTCGTAAATGCGGTTTTCCATAGAGGATCTTGCTGGTTTTATTGGCGTTTCGTTTATGACTGTCTCGGTGAAGATGGTGTCGCGGACAGTTCCTGCATAGTCGCGGATGCATGGATAGAATGAGCATGTTGCCGCCACGGCGTTTAGGAAGTTCATGATTGGAAGGGTTCAGTTTGCATCGGCTCCTGGGCACCGCTGGGATTTCGGGCCACCTTCTTGTCCCAAACGCTCACAGCCGTTATTCGTAAAGGTGATAATGCTGACGTTGAGTATTGATGCTGCTAATATGTCGTCTAATGAGTTGTCGAACGTGTTTAAGAGTTTTTCATTTGGAGAAGTCGATCCCCAGTCTCTCTGTACACTGCTACGCGCAAGAGTGGATAGAACAATTCGTGGAAGGGTTCCATTTGGGGTTCCACCAATGCCATTACCGTCTGATAACCGGATCCGTTGGTCTTGGTCTTCCAGCTCAACTTCCATTAACCGATTAGATGTATCCACGCATTTCTTGCACAGCCCGACCGAAGAATGTGTGACACGGTTGCGTGAAGGAAACACACAGTTGCCAGTAGTGCAGCTCGGCGTGATATCAGACCGAGTCGTGTTGGAATTCACAAGTCCATCCAAGATGGCAACCTTGGTGTCTAAGTCCAAGTCCAATAACCAGGTGCCCTCGATGCCTTGACTTTTTTTCGAGGAGTACATCCACTGGGAAACCCTGATGGATGCTTCTGCTCCCGCTAGAGGCCGCTCACACGATACAGACTTGACAGCTCGCTGCGAAAAAGGCCCGATGCCGACTGATAGTACGATGACTATGCATCCTACAAACGCCGCATTACTACCATGCATCTTAGTTCATACAGCACTTCATCTTCCGTCGTACCATGGGGATATACGTACAGAGACCTTGTTCGAAAGAAGAGCAGCAGCGAGCCCCAGGGCCCTCGGGCAGCTGAATCAAAATGCTCAAGGTGCCAGAGAAGCCGTGGTCGCCGAAACAACAACCACTTCAATTGGCTAATGACTGGTACAGTTTCAGACCCTTGGCTGACTCAAAGTTCGATGAGCTTCTTACCTTCTTCTGCTACGACCACCATACATGATCGCAGTATGGTGGCCAAAACGGCGATAACTGTATTGAGGTTGATTGAGTATCTCCACTCGGGCTGCTCTTTGTCGTTATACTTTGCCATAGTAATCACGATAGTGATCAAGGCCACTATGGCGGCTACTAAAGAGGCCAGTTCAAACCACCAGGTTATGAAAACTGATGTACTATTGTGTTTGTCTTTCCCAATGAATTGTCCTGCAGTTCTGGTTTCGGAACGGTCGTTGAAGAGAAAAGCATGAGTCTCTCCTGGCTCGGCTCTGACAGTATTTTCTCCAACAAGGGTCTCTTGGTGCAATGAATTGTTCGTATTGTTATCGTCATCTGAGGCATATATTGTGGAGGTCGCTGGCGATACAGAGTTTCTATTGCTGTTGTTCTGTGTCGGCTCGCTAGCGACATTAACATGATCGAGGTCGTCTTGCATACTCGGAGCTCGGCTACCGCCTGACAGGCTGAAGACGGGTGTGTCACTGCGGTCGTTGGAAGAGCTAGTTGTCGTATGGTGGTAGCTAGCAAGGAAATGGTGGTTATTCATGTCTCTCATAGGGTTATCTATCCATATGTAGTTTATCTGATAGCGATTGTGTGGGCGACACATTAGGAAGGTTGCACAACGATGTGAGCTTCACAAAAGTTCGACTGATGATCATCTGGCTCCAATTAGGACCGCATTTTGGGGCGTTCCTCCTTGGCAAATCGCTCTGCATGCTGCAGTCGATTTGGGGTCCTGTATGCCTGCATATGATTGGACGATGGCAAGCAGAGTTGAGACAACCAGTGGCTATGGAATGTGTTTATTCAACCGAAAGTGGCGCAGGTTCTTTGTGTTACCGCAGAAGCAGACGAGGCAGACTCGGACGTACGTAGGCAGGATGGTGCCTGGAAAAGCGAATCGCGCATCTGCGATGACGCTCCATCCAACAACACGCTCGCTTGTCTAAGTATAGCAGCGCTTGAGTGGTGCCCTCTCACGTATGCTGTGCTGTCTCATCACTGTGACACTGCTCGCCATGGTTGTGTACATAGACTGCTGTCGCCGCAATGCCACGCCTCTCAATCACAGGCTGGTTCCAGGCATGAAAAACATGGTGTAGGTGATAGGGTGTGTGCATCGAGTGGGCTTCGTACTGTTGGTGCGGGGAGATTCTGTTTCCAGCTTTACCGGTCTATGGAGATACGTCATGGTCACGTGATGCTTTATATCGTACAGCTCAATCTTACGCTCTCCACCACGCCCAGTAAGGTAGCAATGCCGTTATTAGCTACAATCGTTTGCCTGTATAATTCTGATCTTCCTATCTACGGGCACAAGGGTTGTGGGTTTTAAGTCAGCATTCACAATAGATTAGGCGGTAGACATATGACGACTGCACTATCAATCAAAGAAAATGCGACGGCCAACTGCTCGGGATGCCCACTGATGACTCGCACGTCCAATACACAACTTGACTGACGGCAGCAGACCAACAGAGCCTTAAAGCCTCAAAGCACCAAAGCACTAAAGCCTCGGTCTCGGACAGCAACGAGCGCGTGTGCATCGCTTCCGCGCGGCTTCTTGCGTTTCACAATTTTGTTCCAGCCCTGTGTCGCAATGCCACCTTCGGGTCGCATACCACCTCTTCTCCAACCTTACATCCAACTCCCTCGCGACAATTCACTTATCCTGCTCACGAGCACTCTCGGAGCCAGCGCAAACTGGCTACTACTACGGTTCCTGTGTGATGCGCTGAGCACAGTCACAGCCCAAGATGGCGGGGAGGAGGGGCACAACGTAGTGTTGGTTTCTTGGATGAGACAGTATGATTTCTGGAAACAAGAATCTAGAAAGAGCGCAGGTCTAGATCTGGAGAGAATCAGGAAAGAGGGGAGATTCGCCTTCGTTGATGGGTTGGGGGCTGGTGCAGATGCGCCTGGCGGTAGCATGTCCGGAACAGATGCGCGGGCCAATGGACAGGCAAAACCACTGGTCGCGGGGTCGAATAGAATTCAGGTGCAGAGAGGGCCACAGACATTACCTGTACGAAGTCCTCCCGGGGGGATAGTGCCTGCAAGAGGACCACCGGTAGCAGCAGCGGCCGCGCCTACACCAGAGACGATCGATGCAGGTAGCAGTACCCCCGGCCACTACGCATTGAAGACACTCGACCTCTCAGAAATCAGAACGACCATTTCCAGTGCTGTCTCTGCGCTCAATCCCTCGTCGGTGCAGCGAAAGACGCTCCTCATCTTCGATAATCCAGATCTCCTCCTCGCCCTCAACCCCTCCATTACACCCTCGGACTTTACTTCGCTTGCCCTGACTCTTCACACAATACCAACTGTGTCACATGTTCTAACCCATATACAATCCGATAATCCGCTTCTCAGCCTTTCCACACCACCCCAACCACTTGAGCTTGCGCATCACAACCTGCTGGTCAAGTTTGCTCACATGAGCAGAAGGATACTGGGTGTGAGAATCCTGGACACTGGGGTTGCAAGAGACGTGAGCGGTGTCATTCGGATCACCGAACAGAAGCATGAGTGGCTAGACTTGGAACTCAACGAAAATGAACCCAAAGAAGGTGATGAAAACGGGCGAGGAAAAGAGTTCCTTTACCAAGTTAAAGGCGATGGTAGTGTGAGGGTCTTCGAGCGGGGTGCTGGTGGAGAGGCTTGATCGCGATCCCAAACCCTGACACAGGTTGATCTCGAGTTACACCAACACGCCTCATTATTCACTGGCAACATGTGGCTTGACCATAGGCCAAGGTAAGCCTTCGAATACAATAGCGATGACGATCTCGCCCCAATGCAGAAAATCGAAAGCGAATGTACAATCTTCTTCATGCATGCTTGCCTTTGTGTTACGCAAGATGATCATAGGATCCAGTACTGCTTCTCGCGCATATACGCATGCACCGCGTAGCGAATGCACAAGCGATCCAATGACAATACGTACCCGTGGCCCCGGTGCTCATCATCTGCCATGCCCAGATCCCGACGCTGTGCATGCTTGGCCATTCCCAACCAACCTGGTACGCGGTCCTAATGTATCTCACATCCATACGAGCGCACATGACATGATGTATGCCTCACACAGCAATGCCCATTCCCAGAAGGAAGATGACAGGGCTGCCTTAATGTGCTGTGCCGCTTGACAGCAGCTCGAACCTCATCACTATCACGCCGAGCGCTTCGAAACGAGAGCACGTAGCCTGGAATGTGCGTGCGAACCCCACATTCCCATGCATCACTTTTGCGATCGCGCCTCTTAGAGTTACACAACGATCCTTCGTACAGAACCCGGATTCAATACGGACACTCACCGACCCTGTGAGAAATAGGATATCCCTTCGTCTTTGTCGGGTACGCTGTCCTCACCTCATCTGATGCACCTCGGGGGGGTTTTTGGGG